GATGGTCTGCAGGTTATTGGGCAAGCGACTCGTCCAGATAGTTCGTAGAAAGTCTTCTGGTATAGCTGGTCAGATTCAGATTCAGATTCAGATTGTTTATTTGCATAACACAGGTATTAATTACATGGTATTCATTCACAAAGGTTCACTGTGCTTTACCACTATGGGTGTGCAAATTTTCAATTTGTACATTTATAATTGCATATAATTTAAACATAACTTAAAATAACCTATAGGTATATTATTAGCATCGTTGATTACTGTAATAATATTGTGATACATACAATGTCAACATTCAAGTCAAACTATAGTCAAAATAATAAATTAATGTCAGGAAGAAAAAACAATAATAAAAATAAAATAAAAAAACACTACAAATTGTTAGAGATAAAGTCCAATACATAATAATAACATTTTTTAATGAGTAGCTTTTTTAAGTGTGACTTAATGTACTTTATAAGTTTAATGGACACAATAGTAAAACATACACTACAAACTCTACACTAGACATCCAGATAATATATCCATAATCATAGCACTTAGTAATTTTTTTTTTACCGATAAAAATTATGTTACACTGTAGTAAGTTTTATCTACTAGAAATTTACGTAGTTTACTCTTAAATACAACTGTTTCCAAATCTTTCCACCCGCCCGGCAGTTTATTAAAGATTAGTGGTGCCATACAATAGACACTTTTACGCATTAACGTGGTTTGACAACTTTGGTGACGTAACTTGCTGCTGTCGCGCCTGTTTCTTTGAATCACATCAGCCAGACGTTCAAAACGACTCGGGTTCCGCTTAACAAATATAGCTACTTCTAAAATATAAATACAGGGTAATGTCAAAATATTATACTGCTTGAAATATGGTTTGCAACTGTCAGAAGTTTTAAGTTTGAACATTGATCGGAGGCATCTTTTTTGAGCCTTAAATGCTGCATCTTTATCAGTCGAATTTCCCCAGAATATAACGCCGTAGCGTAAGCGCGATTCCACTATACCGTAATAAGCAGTAAGAAGTGCTTTATTGTTTACTATGGAGGATAGTCTATGTAACGCATATGCCGATGTATTCAATTTTTTGCACAGAATCTCTATATGCGCTTTCCAGTTTAATCGGTTATCTATTTGTAGACCTAAAAATTTCGTATCACTGGCCTTGTTTATGATGTTATCCTTGTACTGTATATGAAGATTATGTACATCGGGCGTACGTTGTCTAAAGTGCATTATCTTTGTCTTGCTTAAATTTATAATTAAATTATTTTTGTCTAGCCATCTTATTATACAATCAAGAGAATTATTAATGTCAATTTCATACGTTGTCACACTTTTACAAGGGATCGTTATGGTACTATCATCAGCAAACATAGTCAGAGGTTGTTCAATAGCTTTTGGCATGTCATTAATATATAATATAAACAGTAAGGGGGCCATTACGCTGCCATGTGGTACACCAAATGCGATTTTACGTTCTTTTGAGCGCGAATAACTTCGTGTTTATTTATTACGTCAATGTGATTGATTTCAGTTATTTGTCTTCTGTCTTTATGATTTTATACGTTCAAGCACGTTTCCTCTAATACCGTAGGCTTCTAATTTATTTAATAATGTACATAGTCAAATGCTTGCGTCATGTCACAAAAGATAGCACAAATGGGGTTTCGTTTATCGACACTACTGGTAATACTATATAAAAATCATAAATTGCCATATTAATGGTTCTATGCTGCCTAAATCCTTTTTGTTCCTCACACAGTATGTTATTTTTTTCAATATATTTATGTATTTCATTGGAGATATATCTTTCAAAAACCTTTGAGATAACCGGTATGAGAGAAATAGGTCTATAATTTTCCATCAACTCCTTATTCTCCTTTTTAAAGAACGGTTTAATTATAGATATTTTCAAAGCATCGGGATAAATACCCGTACTGATACTAAGATTTATTATGTAACTTAGGTGACCGCTTATCTCAGTTGACGCTAATTTCAATATGCTAGTGGCTATCCCATCATAACCCACACTACTTGTGTTTCTTAGAGACATTATTATCTTATGTATATCGTATGGTAAACTGGGTGCCATGAACATTGATTTCTGTTTTGTGGAAGACGTACATGCCGATGGTTTATATTTAGCATTTATTTTCGGTTGTATTTTGTCTACAAAGAAGTTATTAAAAGCGTTAGCGATATCTAAGGGCTTGCATATAATTTGATTCCCAACTTTAAGTTTTTCTATTCGTTGCTTGGGAATATTGTATTCAGTTTGGTTTATTATGTGCCATGTGGCCCTTGATTTATTTTTTGATTGTTGTATTTTATAGTCATTCTGTATTTTTTTGTGTCGATTTAATAATTTTATTGTAAAATTTAGAATACTTAACAAATGTATTTTTATTATCACTGTTAGGTTTCAGTCTATATTGCCATAAAAGTTTTCTCTTTTTCTTACTGCAAAGTTTTACTCCACGCGATAGCCATTAAGGTTTTTTTAATATATTAACTTTTAATTCTCTCAAAGGAAAGCATAAATCATAGAATAATTTAAGTGTGTTTACAAATTCATTATAAGCCAAATTTGGATCATCCATAAGATATATTTCCCTGAATGTAAGATTTTTCAGACTATTTTTGAATTTTTCTTTATTCTTAATACTGTAATCCCTTCTGGCGATATAGCAGTATTTGGTATTACCTACATTGGGTAATGGACATTGTAGTAGCTGGGCTGTATGATCTGATAGAGCTAATTCTAGTACGTCTGTTTTACACGTCTTTTTAAAGTTATGTGCGAAATTGTCTATACATGTGCCGCTAGCTATTCGTGTTGGTTGTTTAAGTGCCAGTTTCAAGTTCGAACTTAGTAGCAGACACTCCAATGCAACAGAATGATTATTCTTTTTTAACATATCGATGTTAAAATCCCCGCAATTACAATATTCTTAGTGCGTGTATTACAAGTATATTTCAATACATTTTCAAGCTTATCAAAACAATAATTTATATTTCTAGCATTAGGTACTCTATAAATACATATGACAATCAATTGACAATCAATAAGCTCAACAGCACAACACTCAAAGACTCCTGGCGATGATAATTTCGATATTTGAGGTATTTCCTTCCATTGGTGACAGTTCTTAATAATAAGGTCCCGCCAGGTGTTGCAGGTGCCGTAAAAACTGGGATGGTTTACGGTCACCAAGTTCTTCAGACTGGAGAAGCTGCTTTGTCTTCCTTTCCTTTGACACTGACAAGCGCTTAATCAGCTCACTCTTCAGCTTGTCGTACTTACCAGTAGCAGGCGGTGAAGTGATGACGTCTTCCACCTCAACCGAATATTGACGATTCAAGTGAGCCAAGACGTAATGAAATTTCGTGTCGTCGTCAGTAATTCTGGCCATTTTAAATTGTCCTTCGATTTGACAAAACCATATTGTAGGTTTTTCAGGCCAGAAGGGAGGTATGCGCACGCCTACTCTAAACAATTCTACAGACGAGTCGGAAACGCGTTCACATTTGCTCGGTGCGCGCGTAGGGCGCTGACTACGTTGTGATGTTTCTGTCTCGCTGCCGTCACTACTCATACTTAACACTTTTTTTATATGTTTAGTTCGGGGTCACCAGTTTGGTCTTTAGGGTGTAATATTACTTACGGTTAGTTATAAAGCAAACAATCCTGTTCACTGGTATAGCTTTAATGTTCACCGTACACACACGACACAAAAATTACAATATCCTTAGAAGGCTCAATAAGATAGTTAAAACGGTAGGAAGCATATACAACACAACAGATAGTATACACAGACGATTAACAATATAGAAATAACTGTAGGGATCGATATCATAATAGCTACCAATATATGTTGCGCACGACTCCGGACACTATATCGCGGCGGTCGCAAGTTGTAACTTGTGGTAGGTACAACGTAAAATATATTTTACTCGTCTACCTACATTTTGTCACATTGTCGGCCGTGTAGAAAATGTTTGTGAATGAATACTAATAGTTATAATAATGTAATATTTGTTTGTTTATAATGTGTGTTGAATTATATATTGTACATTGTAAATAAAAATTAAATATATACGTATAAATATTGTTTATAGTGAAAATAAATAGTGTATGTTTGTATGTCACCTACAATATACATATACATATAAATGAGAGGCGGCTGGGTGCTATCCTGATTTCGAGAGTTAGAGCGTTCCTATCTAAATTAAGTCTCGGGAACATTAAACTGAAGTTAATATAATCTAACGTACCACAGTTCGGTAATATACATTGCAGTAAGTAATGTTTTATATGAATGCACTAAGTAGATACGGCACCTACTCAGCGCGTACGTGCCTTACACCAAAAATGGTTCTCGTCTGCTGTAACCTCTTGCCATCAATTTGCCGGTATTTGGAACATAGTAGGAAATCTATGTATAAATGATCCTAACCGCCTTGGAATAAGAAATTGCGCTACATGAAACATTTGTCAGAGTGAAAAGAACGATTGTGGACCTGTTCCAAGTAAGAAAATTATAATTATCAGTTGTATCATTATTAGTCTTGAATACATTTCAAGTGTCGAATAATCAAGTAATCGCCAATCGTCTGACAAAATCCAACTGGCTTATGCTGATATGGTCGTCGTATACGTAAAAAATTACTGTGAAATCCAGAAATACTAAAAATTCTAAATTAATAATTAATTAATTAATTAAAACTGATAAGTTCAAAGGTGGCAACCAATCTAATTTTGAAAAACAATAAACGGGAAAAAAAATCGGAGAAGCCGTTGCTCTTGCAACACAGCGACGAATCAGATGATTACACGTGCAGACTGTCAAAAAACTTTGACAAATAATTGACAATTATGACAAACTAACCGAAGAGGATTTTAATGTTGACCAATACCGATGTTGTTATTGTTGAATTATACTTCAGAAAAAACAAACGAATTTTATTAGTCCAGCAATTAGCATTTAACTAATGACAATATGTCATCCCAATTAATTGACAAATTTAGACAACTAGATGCTTATGCCAAAACCTTAGAGGATTTTAGGATAAAAACCACTACCGGCGCTGCAAGTAAATTACCGCTATTAATTTAGGTATAAACCTTTGATTTTTTCAATTTTATTTTAATTGTATGTTTTTTTATAGTTACTGTCAGTGGTGGCCTGATTATGATTTTGTTATTCCTCTCGGAATTGTACACATATATGTCGCCTAACATTTCGGAAGAACTTTTCGTGGACACGTCGAGAGGTCATAAACTGAGAATTAATTTGGATGTAATTGTACCTAAGATATCATGTAATTGTAAGTATTTTAGACTTCATGTGCTCTTTATGTTATCATAAAATATTTCTAGATACCATTTTCACATACTCACAATAACTATGCAACTACATATGTGTTATTCCTGAGCACGATATTTGCTGTATTAATACGAGATGCTGGCTAAATGTAGATACAGCAAGACTGAAATTTATAACAAGCTCCGTTGTATTAAAATTAAGACATTAGGCTTTTGCCTTCTAGATAATGCACATGAAAACATTTATATTGTACATACATATGTTTACAGCAATTGATTAAGTTTGCCACCTTTGCATTGACTATGTTTCAATCAGGTAATACTGCCTATGGTCACTGGCATGGCAAGTGGGTGTCTCCATCCTCACATTATTAAGAATAACAATTTACGATGATGCTGATGTTTCTTGATGTTGTTAAGACAATATGCACTGTTCTAAAGGATTTTAATAACTAGCTGGAAGTGTCAGAGGAGGATTAAGTAAATGAATAGAGTTGAATGGCATTTTTTGCATCTCTTAGCAGGCCTATAGAAAATGTGTATTAGATAACTTGGGACTTAATTTTTTTTTTATTTATTAGTAAGATGGATATGTAAATTAACTACTGTGGAATCTTTCATCGAATTGTCAGTATAGGGTGGTATGGTGGTATGTTGATGGTATAGGACATTTTTAGTACCGTAAGCATATTGTATATGAATGGCTAATTGAGCCATTTGCACACAATATCATATGTACAATTAACCTCGAAAATATGCATGTGTTTAAAAACACATTTGTGCTGAACCATAGCTATCCCATGTTTATGTTTTTTGTTACTTTGGTGTTAGAAAATGGAAACACTTAAACACTAACTAAATCAAAAAGAAAACTTCTTAGCTAAAAGTATTAATTGGATTTCAGATTTAGTTCTAGATGCAATGGACTCATCAGGTGAACAACATTTACAAATGGAACAAAATGTCCACAAAAGAAGGCTTGACCTGGATGGCAATCCAATAGAAGAACCTAAAAAAGAAGAAATTGCTGTTTCATCTACAGTGAGGCTAAATTCAAAAATTTCCCTCTTAGATATATGTAACTAGCCCTGAGGCTTCAGTTGCGCAGTCAGGGGCAAAGCTGTCGCAAATGTCGAATTCCAGGATAAACACTGGCCTATATTATTGCAGACTGTAATCTATCTATGTACCAACTTTCATACAATTCTTTACACCAGTCTAGAGTGATTGAGTAACCAACACATCAATCCAATAAAAATTTCACATTTAATAATATTAGTATTGAAATAAAATACTTTTTTGTGCTTATAAGCACCAGACTTGAAGGTTTCGACTTGAAGGTATCAATTTTTCGCAGAGTTCTGTCAGCTTTTTGTAAACTGTATTTGTTTGATGATTGGTGACCAAGCGTGATTAATAATTTCAAGATTTTATTTTATCTGTAGATAATCAACATCCTTTATATTCTTAGTTGATGAAAATTATGTTTTCTTTTAGATAAAACAAAACATATCTGATGTTGCAATAATAACATGTGGGAGTTGTTATGGAGCAGCACTTAATGAATCTCAGTAAGTTTCCTATAATTTACAAGCCTTTTATTAATTCATGTTGGTTGTGGAACATAAAAATGCATAGTAAGATGTTCTGTCTTATTTGCTTTTATATTCTACTAGAAGTTACTTATACACAAACCATTTTCTAGTTTTATTTTTGATGTGAAACATTTAATGCAAAGGGTTAAGCCAGTTGTTGGCATGGCGACACGTTGCCACGCCAAAACATGTAATCCGGGGTAGCAAATAATTTCGATGTTTTACATCTCCCATAAACCCCATATTAACTAAAATTTTTTTTATGTTATTTATATTTTTGTTTTAAAAATATTTATAGTTGTTTACTTTTAAAATTAACTAGCACCTATCAAGGCTTAATTTGTATTTCTTAGGTGTTGTAATACATGTGAAGAAGTAAAAGAAGCATATAGATTTAGAAGGTGGGCTCTTCCTGATTTAGCTACCATAGAACAATGTAAAAATGATGAATCTATTGAGAAAACAAATAATGCCTTAAAGGAAGGCTGTCAAATATATGGATACATGGAAGTGAACAGGGTATGTAAATATATACACAGTAACGATAATCACCATGATGAAATCTTACCCAAGTGATGATTTAGTTTTCCATTAAAGACATTAATAAAGTAATTTCTAGTGGATCAGTTTATCATACAGTTACAATAGTGCACTTAGGTAACTGTACAATAAGTATAATAGTCTTCTACACTAGCTTGTATGTTCACTTCATTTTACACCTCTTTGCTAATGTTAGGGGTCGGCAGATATGTATTAAACACAAACATTTTTCAAGCAGTAATTTTTTTTCAGCTAATATAAATTAGTGTAATAGTGCTTGTCTCTTTCCATAATAAGCCAGGTAATAAGGAAAATTGGGTATTTCCTTATTACCCGACTGCACCAGAAGGAAGATTATATTTTCCAAGAGTATTTAGGTATCCATATTTCTTCGGTAGTCTAAATGGCTTAATAGATTTTGGTTTTGGAGGTGTTGTTAGATTTGTCTTAATTGTGAGACACTGGGTGAAGAAAATTATAAAAAAGAAAATCGCAGCCTCTACATTTTTACAGTCAGGTTTTTGATTTTTTCAATAATTAGCTTGTTAAATTTATGCAGCTTAAGGCCCAAAAGGCAGAAACCTCTTCTAACTTCAGTATTGTGGGAGTTTGTGAAGTAGGTGGATGAGGATTGATATTGTCATGATTGTCTGCTTTCCCAATCTTTCTTTCTTAATCTAAGATATATGTTATACAGCTTAAAGCCCTAAAGGCAGGAATCTCATCTCACTTTAACTTTCAGGCTGCAACACTTGTTATTGGAGGTTTGTGCATAAAGTATATGAAGGATTGCAATTTCCATGTTCTCAAGAACATAATTAGACACTTTTCCTTATAAGTATAGTGTTTAGTATTGTGTCCATGTCCAACTAGTCAATCTTAATATTGAAACAACTGTTACACACAACAAAAATCTTCATTATAGATCTACTAAACTCAGAATTAGTCTTGCTGGCAGAACCATATCACTTATTCAGTTTCATACATCTTGAATTAATAAAGATTCTCATCCTGTTTTTTCTTAGACCAATGAATAAAATCAAGATATTAAAAATCTTTCTTCGTTTTTAGGTTGGTGGAAGCTTTCATATAGCTCCAGGAAAAAGTTTTACCATAAATCATGTGCATGTTCATGATGTGCAGCCATATTCATCATCAGTGTTTAATACTACCCATTATATTAAACACTTATCCTTTGGGAATGGCATAGATGGTGCTAATACAGCACCCCTAGATGGAACTCAAGGTGTTGCTAAAGAAGGTAAGCATGGAAGTTATGCACAATTAGGGGCCACCCCTTCATAAGTATTTACAAAAATTTAAATGCATTATTGCTGTTATATGCATAATGTACTTTGTTATATAATTATAGAAATCCATCTTTATTGAACACAAAGATTGTAGGACTGTATCAGTATAATTGTTAACATAGACATCATAAAATTGATCACCACATTTGCAGAAACTAGAAAAACTTGTTAGTTTGTTGGGAAACAAAAGGAGATCAAATGATATTGATATCTATATTATTCTATCACATTCCATAATACATAATTAATACATGTTATGTATACAATAGGTATTAAGTAGGTACATACTTTTGAAATACCTGATTTTTCAAGCGGGTTGCAGTGCTACTTAATACCTATTGTCAGTGCATTAATTGGTGTATTCGCAGTATTTCCTAGCTAGCGAATAGCTATTTCATGCAAACAAAATTAGATGGAGTAGTTCCATGAAGTCAGTTTTAGTAAGCCCAGATTATTGTATTATTAGACATGAAACCTTTAGCCTTTTGCTATAAAAAATCATTTTCAAAAGAATACTTTAATCATTTATATCCAGAGTATAATATAATAATTCATATCCAGAGTGCACCAATCATACCGGCTTTTTCATAAAATCTTTTATTAGATTAGACTAGGAAGCCCCTGTGCAATTTTTTTTTTTTATTTGTTAGCCATGTACCATCACAACATCACCTCTCTTACACTTTTATTATAATATAATATGTCAATAAATAAAAACAGCTCTTCTATTTAAGTTTATTTACCATTAAGTTTTTAACATTATTTTTATAAGGAACACTAAATGCTGAGCAGCATAATAGATAAATAAAAAGTTTTTTCTATGTATTTATTTTTGTCTGCTACATATTTGCTGTTCTTGTGTACCTATTTTGAACTTTCACGCAGCCGCTAGTGTGATTGTCTGACTTCCACCTTCATACATTCACACACTTCATACATTTAACTAAAATATTCAAAAAAATTATTGGAAAGTTTTTGTCTATCATTAAAAAACAGTGATTGCAGCATTTCACAACAGTTTTTTTTTATAATATGATGCTCAATAGACTCCCTAACAGTAACAAAAGTGCTTTGACATCTATGTCATTTAACTAAATGATACCTAATGATACCAAAATCATTAAGGTAAACAATGTTTATACTAAGCACTAGAGGTTTATACACTCAAAGTATAATATACATATACAAAACAGCATTCCAGAAGTACCATCAACAACGTATTCCCGTGCCGATAGCCATAAATGTGCCAAAGGTTCCTCCGCCTTGAAGCATAACTTTACCCACGGAATGCACTAATTCTCTTCCTCGAGCTCCATATCTGTAATAAAAATAATATGAAAGGAGTTTTTTCGTTTGTCAAGCCGAATTAATAATAACTTAAAAAATAAAACTAACCTCAAAGCAGTAAAGCCACCAAATAGGCCGCCGCTAGCCATTCCTACACAAAATCCTATCATAAAACCCATTTTCATTTTGTCAAAACAAGATGGCCCTTGACCTTGATATACACCTCCTGGTACGGGCATTTTAATAATGCTCTGTTAAAAATCCTAATTTAATGAGTCTCTTAGATAACTCGAGAATTCAAATCAATTTTTTTATTTGACATTTGTTTGTTTGTCTGGACGTGACATTGACACGGCTAGTGTAATAATTGGATCCAAGTCTTTTGGCCAAAATGACACTGTTTTTTTTTTTAATTATGTATTTTCTCCAAATAGATATAAAGGGTATAGCCCACTGACCTCTTTGCCTGCACTGCATATGTCGTTATCAATCTGAAGCCATTTGATTTTCGCCAAAACAGTGTGAAGTTCAAATCCGTTCCGAATACTAGGGTTGAGGCATAACTAGCAAAAAAAAGTATTGCATCACTTTATCGGTTCAAATTCTTGGGTTAACTTCTACTTTATGTATGTTTGTTTACAAGGCATAAAAATAGTTACAATTACAGATAGTAACAGTTACAATTGTGTAAACACACATTTGAGAAATCAACATTACAAAACAATAATTTCTAATTTCATTTAAATTTTAATGTTACTTACATTAAAATTTTTCGCTTCGGCTTTTATAGTGAATAAGAGCGGTTTCGCACTACGTTCAATCCGAACCCCTGAAAATATGAATCTAGAAATCTCTGACTGAATTCGGATATTGCTTTTCACACTCCGATTTCTGATCCGTGATTACAGATTAGGAAGGCTGACTGACTGTATTTATATAATGTTTATGCACTAATGCGATCTCTGATTCTAATCCTAGCAATATAGGGGTCATCTTGTAGCATACATCATTTTACGCGAAGCGTTTACGTCGTTGTTCATGAGTCCTTTTGGAAAAACGACGACACAGAGTAGTAAAGAATTCTGATTGCGTTCATACAAATAATAGTATAGCTACTTCGGTCTGTCAATAATCTTGTCCGGAGATTCACGGATAACGGAAAGAAATCGGATGACGAAAGTAGAATCTAGTGCGTAAGCTACCATAGAAATAGTTCTACGACTACTTCGGAACTTTTTTAACTGATTCGGAACGCATTCTGATTGGACGTAGTGCGAAACCACTCTAAAAGGCGATTTTCACAGTGACTTTCATTTCATACGCGCCAACGAAGTTGGCCACAAACCGAATGTTGCGCAGGTATACTCGCAAATAAACTCACTGGGGTACGGCACTGAGAAACAAGTAGGTAGTCATCATCAACGGCCTTTAATAGTCCACTGCTGGACATAAGCCTCTCCTTAGAAAGGAAGTTTTGGCCTACTATACCACGCTAGCCAGACGGGTTGGTATAGGGTTTGTGTCATCGTTCCGGCTGGAGACTCCACGCGCTGGCTTCGCCGCCGTGGAGGCTCTCCAGCCGGTCATCGCCGAGTGGGCAGGGCGGCAGCACGGGACCCTTACCTTCCGGCTGACGCAGGTGCTTTCCGGGCACGGTTGCTTCGGAAAGTACCTGCACTCGGTCGCTAGGAGGGAACTGAGTCCCGCCTGCCACCACTGCGACTGCAGTGAGGACTCGGCCCAGCACACGCTGGCGGTCTGCCCCGCATGGGCGACGCAGCGCCGGGCCCTCACTGCGGAGTGGATATCTTTTGCTACCGGCCGTAGTACGCTCCATGGCCGGTAGCGACAGTTGTTTTACCGCGGTCGCAACCTTCTGCGAGGAAGTAATCTCGCAGAAGGAGGCGGCGGAGAAGGCCCGGGAGGACGGCCTCCACTCGGACCCGATCCGCCGCCGGCGAACCGGGCGGCGGAGGCGCGCTTATCACCATCTCATGCCGCCCTGAGTGTGGCCGCGGGTGGACGGGGTGGGTTCCCCCTCCACCCGCATTAGTTTGGCCAGCCGCGAGGGGGCGGCGTCCGCGTGTGCCGGACGTCGCCTAAAGAGAGGAAAAAAAATTTTGAGACGGAGCCCGCAACAGGAGCGGGCCGGCCGGCGCTAGGAGGGGTCCGGATGTCTTGATAACAGCTGTTCCCGGATCCCTTCTATTACAGGCGCAGAGTGGCACACCGTGTGGTTTTAGTCGGTCCGAGTCCGACACACCACCCCGCCGCAAACCCCGGTGGGGTGACGGTCCGAGGGGATTTCCACACGTTAAAAAAAAAAAACAAAAAAAAAAAAAGGTTTTGGATTGACAAAATTCGTTAATTAGAGGTATTTACACTTTTATTTGATAATTGAAAATTCGTTATAAAGAGGTTGTTCGCAAAAAATCTTCGCAATGTAAAAGTATATTTTACATTGACTCATGAGGTACAGGTTTTATATTAAGGTTGCACTGTACTTCTGAAGTTATGTTCAATATGTAGTCGAATAAGGTATAAAACTACAGTAAGAAGTCCGACCCTTTCTTTTTTTTGGTGACAGACTTCCTTACCTCCCCCCTCCCCCCAGGCCTGCACTTATGCAGGATGAAAGTCATTTAGCGACCTCCGCTGCCTGAGCCGCCTGCAGTACCCGGCCCGTTCCCTGGCCTGGCGGACCGGGAGAGTTCTCAAGCCTTTTCAGATCCCGCTCCACCCTCTTCTTTTCGAACATAACTTGCTCGCAGAAGAAGGTGGAAGAGTTCCTCGCCATCGCTCCGTATTATGGCCGCCATCATGGTACTGAACTAGAGAATCTTCACTCCTATGGTCGTGACGAGGCCACGCCTCTGCTCCACCCACGCCACGCCGGGCATTCTAGCCGCGGTGGAGGGCCGTATCCACGCTCTGACCACCGCAATGTTGGCACCCAGGCATTGGTTCCTTGCTGAACAGACACAGGTTAGGGGAGAGTCCCGTGTAGGCCTTCGTGGCGAGTGGAGGGAAAAATCCAGCCACCTGAGACCACACTCAGGGCGGCATGAAGCGCAGGAAGGCACGGCAGCCATGGAGTGTGTAACGGCTGATAGCGAGAAATCCTCTCCGAGGACTGCAATGAGAGCCCGACGCTACGTTACCCAGTGTGTGCTGAGCCGAGTTCAAACTGCACTGCAGTGGTGACGGGCGCAAGTCAATTCACTCCTAGCGATCGAATGCTGGTACAGAGGTGCCCAGAAAACCCCTGGGTCAGTCGGAAGGAAAGGGTCCCTTGCTACCACCGTACCAACTAGACGATGACCAGCTGGACCGCCTCCACAGCGTCAAATCCAGCCTGGGCCGTGAGGCCTCCATCCGGAACGACTAACAAGTGATCGTGGCTCGGCAAGCGGCATTTAGATACTCAGTTCCGCCCCCTAATTCCAGAGATCCACCTGCACCCTCAGAGCGCGTCTTATTCTGGGCGAAAAGCTCTGCTGCCAAGACCGTTGCACTCTATAGTGCGGTGACAGGACAACCCCGGTTTATTACCACAATTTATAGAGTAACCACTACTGCAGCAGTTGTAGCAAATGCATTTTTGTGTACACGCACTATACTCAATCTTCGTAAGTATCAGAAAATGTATATAGTAATGAACATATTATTTCATTTATAGTATTTAGTGTATATATATGTGAGTTAGCTTTATCTTAAATTAATAAATTTAATATAAATAAAGTCGAATTCTCTTGCACCTACAGAATCATTTTTCTACATCACCCGAAGGTCGACTGGCAGAGAATGCCTTGGGCATTAAGTCTGCCTGTGTACAACTTGTGCATTAAATAAAATAACTAAAAATAAATAAATAACAATGAAAGCAAAGAAGTAGTCGCAATTACGTAATATAAATCCTTTTTTTTTTTTAACTGTGGAAACCCCCTCGGGACGTCACCCCACCGGGTTTTGCGGCGTGGTGGTGTGTCGGAATCGGACCGACTAAAACCACACGGTGTGCCACTCTGCGCCTGTAATAGGAGAAATCCGGGAACTGCTATTATTAAGACTACCTGCCACCAGTTGTTTGAGGGGGCAGACGTTGAGGGAACTGATGTTGTAGGGCCAGGCGTGGAAGTGGGGAGAGGAGGGAATTCCGCCCCTGTCTCTGCCGCAGTCTTAGGCGGAGGACCAGCCCTCGGTGGGGCCTTCTTTGCCGCTTCAACCGCCCCTATCAGGAAACGGAGTCGGCGGTGCAGTGGTTTTCCGGCTATCCCATGCGAGAGGCGGCCGAATAACGAGAGCTGAAAGCAGCCTAGCCTCCAGACTCGCGAGACGCCCATCCAACATACGTCCATCCGCGTCAAGTATTTGGCGCTGTCTGAATGCCAAACTCCAGTTGTGTATATAATGTATTATATACAGTAGACTGTATATAATGTATTTTACTTATAACCTTATTAACCTTATACTTAAGAGTGTTGGCCCGAGCCAAGCAGCCCTCGCCCGGCCGTTGTTCAAGGTCGCGGAACCAGTTTGGTGCGGAGACCGCACAGCCCGATGAGACGCAGGTGGGCATCAGAGACGTTCCTGGGACTGTGATTGGGGCCAGGCTTCTGTGGAGCTGGGTCCTGTCGCTCAAGGTGATCCGCCTTTGATCGGAATTGGGCGAACTGTGCTCTAAGCTTTGAGCCGTGCCACATCGGCAACAAGGCTGTCTACGACCCCAGAGATGGCGGCGGAGGAGTCCTTAAGGGGCCTGACAAATTGACCCTTAAGATTCGTAATTTAGTGGCCACCTTGTTGATAATGATCACAGCCACGTTCGCCCTCTCCTGAATGGACACCGTTATTTGGGGGACCGAACCCCCTACTGTCGGCTCCTGAATTTTCAGCAGGAAATCAGCAATCTCCTTCCCCACTACGTCTTCGCGCTCCGCCCTAACTCACCTATAGACTTCCGCCTCAGAGAAGACGGAGCTTGACGGAGCCAAGACCGGAGACTTCCCTCCCGCGACTTCCCTCTGCGGCTACTAGCCACTTTGGGAGGCAGCATCTCCTGGGACGTGTCAGCATCTTCGTCGATGGAGCGCCCGCGTTTCCGGCTATCGCGGAGCTCCATGTCCATCTGCTCCAGTGTGTCTATCGTCGCACTGGAGTTACTGTCCGAAGGAATGGTGGACCTGGAACTTAGACGTTCCGATCTTCTTAGGCTCCCAGAAGTCAAATTGATTTCTGGGAGCCGTTCTACGATAGGCGTCTCAGGCAAAAACTCTTCGTCGGTGGACGAGAAGTCATCCGCTTTTTCATATTTACCCACGAGTGCGGGAGAAATAAAAGTCGACACGGGCAGAGATCCCCCAATACCAACAATAATACAATACAAGCGTAAATACATGCCCAACCGAGGGGTTCGCAGGTGCCACGGGTGGCAGCATGCAGCAGTCATGCATCCCCTGGCCACGCACTACAACACGGGATTCGGAGTTAATTTTTAAAGACGTTTTCTTCCTCGCAGCCCGGGCGGCTAAGCCAAGACCCTCGCCCCCGATTAGAGTCGCGAGACATAACCACGACACTCCTACGGATTACGATGTGCAAACGGCGGCAAGGAGACCCAGTCCCCATAGGCTGCTTGGTGTCAGAGTAAGTGCTCACCGAGCCCGTCGTTTTTCCTCCACTTTGGACAGCGGCGAGTTACTCGCTGACCCAAGAAGGGCCTCACCGAGTATCCTTCTTAGCCTGGAGTTAAAAACTCTGACGTGCTTTTTATTACGGAATTTCGTCTCGTTATTTTGAGACCAAACAGATAATAAACACAAATAACAATTTTACAAGAAGCAAAGCAGTGAAATTATTTAATGCGTTAGAACGAGATACACGACTGACCTTGCAGAGGTGCAACGCGTCTGTGGCAAGTGCCGCGCTGTTCGCATCCCTTCCGATGCGCAGGACTTACTCCTTTATTACCTAAAGTTGTTTTGCGGCGTTACCAGAGATGTTAGACATACAAATTTCTTGGTATACGTACCATTTTTCAAGGTCTTGTAGCATATACCAAGTTAAAATTGTGCTGGTACGCAATAATACCAACTTTCTACATTGATCATACATTAAACATTATTTTCTTGTATCTAATTTTTTGTAACAATATATATAGTTACACATTGATTATCGTAAAAAATACTGTTCATAATGATATTTATTTTTGGCCCTTTGAGTAACTTACTTCAGATTGACTTTATCAATCGAGCGAATTATCCATGGATGATGGGTATGATTTTGTAAAAAAAAAATACGAATGCGGTCAATTTTTATTTTATGTTTTTTAAATTATGTATATACATTGATAAGATCGAATAATAAAAGTGTCAATGAATAATGAGAAAAATTAAAATTATTAAAAAAATATAATAACTAGGTATTATTATTATTTTTTTATGAGGTATGAGACCTATTTCTTAGCGTTCCATGGATTTACGGTGCGGGTGCCGGGTCCACCGCGTGATTGATGAGGGCAACACATGCGACTTCGACAGCGCCTGGCACTTGCGATCCAGGCATAGGTTTAAGGAGTACTCTTTGCGACGCGTCAGTGCTTACATCTACTGTCACCTAATCATATTTGATACGAGGCTAGCAATTCCGCTTTATATATTCGTTCAACAAATGCGCTTACTGAAGCTCTTGGCAATCCAAGGTCTTTAAGCAGGTTATAGAGGGATTTAGCTGGTATACCCCTCGCACCCACTTCTACGGCATACAATGCAACGACATAAGTATTTTTAGTTATTTCGTTGATTAAGTCAAAGTACTATTTTGCTTTAGAAATCTACCTGCAAAGTGTCGTAAATTTCGTGTAGCGACTTCAATATAGAATGAAACGCAGGAACATACTACATCGCCATCTAACAAAGACACACCGAACTACGGAGTAACTCCTGAATGAGAATTTCTAATCTTTCATCTCGATATGAAGAATTCTTCCGATTAGCATATATACAACATCCCAACATCAACCGTTGTGCCGCGGCCCTTCAGTCATAATCACCTCGCCTGGTCAAAGGATCCTCCCTTTGTGTTGGAGGTTGGAGGGACATGACACCCGTTCTCCACAGTGGTGCCGACGTGATTGGAAGCAGCCCTCAAAAAAGCAGATCAGCAGCAGCACGCTCCCACAACGTTGAGCGGTAATCAAGTCTCAGCCAGCCAGGAACCTTGGCCTCAACAGGGATACCACACGCAGGTAGCGACCGCTCCAGCCTGGTTACCCCTACGGCCTCATTAGCGTCTAGGCACAGCACACTGCACCTACGGTCCACGAGTAAGTCTCTCCCGTCTACGCATTAGCCAGCCACTACGCAGCAATCGCCCCGACTCACTGGGGACTTCACCACAGCACCGCGCACCGCCCGCCATCCCCAATCACTGGGATCAGTTCCGACTCACTGGAACTAGCGGCACTCAGTTCCGACTCACTGGAACTACTGGCACTGGCACGCTCCACAACAGGGCATAGACAGCTGAGTCATCAAAATATCGACCTCCAGTCTAGGAGGGGAGTGATGTGGCGACTTCCACATAGAATGAAACGTAGAAACATACTAAAGCGCCATCTTACTAAGACACACCGAACTACGGAGTAACTCCGGAATGAGAAATGCTAATCCTGTATCACGATATGAAGAATTCTATCGCCGATTAGCATATATACAACTTCCCAACATTAACCGTTGGGCCGCGGCCCGCCAGGCATAATCTCCTCGCCTGGTCCTGTATCTTACCGTGTAATTTTATGTATAGCAATTTTGTAATATAAAAATAATACATACAGAATAAATGAATAAAAATTCTTTATATTTATCCCCACTGGCGACCCCCAATAATTTAAGGTGATCAAAATTGCATTCTTTACCAGTTACTTAAAGTGAGTAATTTTGTGTAACGTAAAATAATATTAAAGACTACAACCCTCCTACCAAATATATACATAGTAGATACATAATTTATAAAGAAATTCTAACTTATAAGTTTTATGGTGTTGTTTTTCAGGTGCTGTCATGTTCCAATATTATTTGAAAATTGTTCCTACAATGTATGTTAAGTTAGATAAGAGTATTTTACACAGCAATCAATTTTCTGTTACAAGACATCAAAAATCTGTTTCTAATATCAATGCAGAAACAGGAATGCCCGGTGCATTTTTCAGTTATGAAATTTCGCCTATAATGGTTAAATACACAGAAAAAGAAAGGTAAACAATTTGAATATGTTATATATGTAAAATTTAAGTAGTTTAATTTTATTTGTAGATGTATCCTGGTCCAAAACCTAGGTAGGTTTATAAAAATACATATCGAATTTGCTCTTCGTCGATTTGTTTTTTCGTTTAAATTTTATTATATTTTAAGACTGTTTACAAAGAAAAGTTTTTATTTGTTTCTTGGTTTTCGAGAATTACGATTGCCCAGTTTTAATACTGATGGTTTTATTGTGGATTACTAATTCCTAAAGAATCGGATTAGGTAGGTCCTGAAAATAATAAAAAACCAAACGCAAAATATAATTCATTAATCTAACAAATAGCACTTCTAAAAATTAGAAATGTAACTTACATTTGGACATGATTTCAGTGTACAGTAAGAGATAATGTTGACCGTTAGACTGGTGGGGTACTAAGGACTTCTGAGGTTTTGTTCACACCGACCTAGTTTTTTTTTTCACACAGACAGGCGTCTACGCCTGGAACCGACCGGAGCCCACCAAGCCGTTACATAGACCATTAAAGTAGATGCACTCGAACGCTATAAAAATTTACTCTAATCCAACCCAGCCTGTGTGAACAGGCCCGAAGCTACTATGCTATTCATTGTAAAGCAATCATTCTTGTTTCAAACTAAACTATAAAAAGAAAACTAATATTTAAAAGCTTCTACAACTTATTATATATCCTGTTGGCATTATTGATTGTTGTTGGTGTTACACTTGGCAATAATTATTAATTATTGTTTCTTTTATTTCAGGTCAATTGGTCATTTGGCCACTAATATTTGTGCAATCATAGGTGGAGTATTTACTGTTGCAGGAATATTAGATGCCTTTTTATACCATTCCTTGAATGCTTTCCAGAACAAGATGGTATTGGGAAAATCTGGATAAATCATAGAGTTTTTAAAAAAAGGTTGAAATCATTGACACTACACTTTGCAAATTGCCTACAAAATTCTGTATCAGGTTTTTCAACCAGAGCTTTTATTGGGACATAATTTTCTTTTTTTGGATCATATTGAGAGCGCCCTAATTTATTTAAAAATAAGTGGCGCTGTTTCACTTTAAAATTTCTACAAAGTAATATTTCTGGCTGCTCCAAAATAGTTTTGTGTGGTATCTTCATAACTTGGTGAATAAAATTAAATCTTTGCAATAAACTCTTCTGATCTGAAAACAAAATTGTAAATCTATAAATGGATTGGTAAGAATATTATGAAATATGCCGTTAAACAGTTCAAAATCTAATTAACAATAGACATTTCATAACACCTGACACATGTATAACTTACAAAATACAATTTACATCAAGTTTATTTACAGCATGGAAACCTGATGCCTTATTAGCAATTGAAGTTATAGATATTTGCTATCAATATATTGTATAAAAATTTAAAAACACCAATATATCTATTAAAATACTTACTCAACATAAGAAGTCTGGGTTTATTTAATACCATATTTTTAAGTTCACTATCTTCAAATCCCATCTCTTCTTTTATAACAAACATGTTAGTTCTGATATGATGTAAATTATATGTTATCAATTTTGGCTGCTTGGTGGCCAGATACCTTACTTCCTTTCCACACAAGCTTAAATAATTTTGATAGTATCCAAGTCTTCTGTCGATTCTAACTGTACTGAAAGGTTAAGAAATGTTTTTGGTACTCAACCACTTAATAAGAATTGTAACAAAATGTGAGTTATAACATCATAGAGATGATATATGCATATAATAACAAGCTACCCATATGTATCTGTATATTGTTAAGGTTAGGGTAGACAGCATAAGGGGGGCAGGATATAAAAGAATATAGAAGTTGTCACACAGCACCATCATGTATAGCTGTCTAGGCCAATATATTACAACCATACCATTTTTATTTGTGTCCATCATAGTTGGTATTAACAATAAGTAATGTCTACTTAGCACCTCTTATAACTTTTATCAGTACAAAACACAAAATCATGTGGATAAAGTTTATATGGGTATGAAGGTTCAAGTATAATAATAATTCTATTTAATAGTTATAGTAATAGTTATAAGTTATAGTAGTACTTATAATAATAGTTTTTTTTTTTGTATCATGGTATAGTTTTTTCTAATGCATCATAGGGAGATGCACAAAAAAAAACTATGATGATAAACAAATGATAATATAATGAGGATAACTATTTACCTTAACATTAACCAAAATGGGTTTGCACTTATAACTTTCTTAACTTGGTCGTATTTAAATCCCTTGGACTCAAGATAATTAACTCTTACTTGAAGATCATTTATTGGTTCACACAAAATCAATGGATTTTTGGTTAGAAAATTCCCCATTTCCTCCAATCCCACAAAATCATTTAGAAATATAATGTGCTGTTTCATATCTTTCTCGAAATCCAATTTTAAAATCTTTTCCACAACGTAAGGCTTCTTTTCAATTTCACTTAAGTTAACATTGAGGTTAACCAATTTTTTTAGAGTTTCGGAATTATTTACATAAGCTGCTAAATTGAAAGTTTTTGGAAAAAATGGCGTTATTCCAGATAAATCTTCAGATACAGTTTGCAAGGCATTGCAGTCATTGTGTTGTTTACTCAAACTATCAACATATGTGAAGTTTTGTGTATAACAACACATTATCTTAGCGGTTTCCCTATTTAAGAGTCTCTTATACTTAGACAAAGGCCCAAATAGCGTCATTATGACTATGTTTTAAATTAGGAGCTCAATAAAGTGTTTAACGTTTTTTGTTTATTTAATGTACTACTTTTCTTAGGTAGGGCATGAGTTTTGTGATGTTTGAACTTTGACGTTATTATCAGTGTTCAGTGTGACCGTTACAAAATATTAGTAATCTACTAAATTAGGGAACTTTTTCTACTAAAATTACTGAAGAAAAAAAAACTACTGAAATTCTACCAGCCTACATTTTGATTCATTTTAACAATGTGGTTGAAATAAAACACGATTAATGATTTCAATTAGATTGAGAATATTTATTATCATTACAATTTTTGCTTAATCTAATCATATTAGAGTCAGATAAAAAGTTTGTACCATTTTCTCCACTATCAATTATCCCTTGCTTTGAGTGCAAAAGCGATGATGTGTGTATTCAAAAATGGATTAGGATGTTTAGTTTTAATTAAATTAACTTGTGAAAATATAAGATCAGAAGAAGCGTTCGAAGCGATATTATCATATTTCAATTTATTATTACTATCTGTTAATAAATTAGCGCTCTCCCAAAACTTATCAGTATCCTCTAACACTGTAGAGTCACTGGACGCTGCCAGTAAATTTTGTACGTTAGTGTCATACTCTTCTTCAATTAATTGTTGTATTTTTCGTCACACACTAAATTAGGAAACTGTTGAGTAAGTGATACGAGACTAGAAAACTGCTCATACGCTGCTATTTGGGAGTTCAAAAATATTAACTCCCTAAATAAATGATGTTCCATTGGCAGTCTCTTTTTCAATTGCATGCATAGCTCAATTAGAAATAACCGCGACCTTCTTAAAAACTCCTGTTTTTTTTTTGTGTCTGATCCCTACCCATATTAACAATTAATTTTGCTACTTTAACACCCAAATACATTCGATTAAAATTAAGGAAATTTATTTCACTGCTAGGATTCAATATTTATTTAATTTTATTCATCAATGTTTTCTATAGCAGTCTCTGTTATGTATCCATTTTTCATATAACAACTCAGTAAGGCCTAATACATATCGCTCATATCCCTATATAATCAATGGAATTTATTAACAATTGGTAACACATTCAAAAACAAAAAAAAGACGTGTGGCACTCGGGGACTGCCGCGGTAAAGCTATTGCATACCATTTTGTATCAACTTATGCAATTATAATTATTTATTTATTTTATTTATGCAGTATTTCTTTTTCTTTGATATTAATTCAAGTTACACTTTTTGAGCGTGGTGACCGATAAGAAAACAATTTTTTTTCTTTTATTAAATAAAAATATTGAAGCATATAATACAATTTGTTTTTAAATAAATAAATAAAAAATATTGTTATTAAATCAAATTACATATCCATGTAAGATTTTTCTGCATTATGTTGACGAAATTTTCTTTGACGTTCAGCATTTGATTTTGGTACTGTTTTTTGTTTTGTTTTTAGCGTGAGGTTTCTGTTCGTTATTGAATTTCTGGATTCGGTCCCCGTGCTCAAGGCCCTCGATAGAAGCTATGCAATAGCTTAAAACTATAATTTTGATACATTATCATTTAAAAAATTCAGCATTATGATTGCGATTTAATAAATATTGATGATTTCAAAGCGTTCATTTTTTTTTAAACATATAGATATCTAGAATGTATACAATAAAAATAACTATCTTTTAAACAAATAAATACCTTCCGACAATGACACCTATCAACTGGCCAAATTAAGCAGCTTATGCCGCTTATGTTATGGATACTAGATGACGGATAAATATACATAACATATCTTTATATATATAATTCTTCTGTGAGTGTGTATGTCACTGAACTTCTCTCAAACGACTGGACCGATTTTGATGAAATTTTTTGTGTGTGTTCAAGGGGATCTGGGAATGGTTTAGATTCACAATTTTGTCCGCTGGACAATGTTTTTTTAATTAATTTTTAATTTATTAGTAGTTGTTGATTTTGGAATGTTTTACATTGGATCCGACAGACGACGCTACCATCGCAGTGTCAAATTTGACAGGACAACGTCTGTCGGGTCCGCTAGTATATTTATACAAATATTCATCATATACTCAATACGTGTATAAACATCCAAGACTGAAGAACAAATGCCTGTATTCATCACACAAACATTTGTCCCCACCGGGAACTGAACCCAGAACCTCTAGATATGGCGACGCCTTGAAACCGGGCGTACAAACATCTCGGCCACGGAGATCGTCTTGATGGTTTTAAAACTTTTTGTTTACAATACAAAACCATGGTGGCCTAGCATAGTATACCTCATTGAAAGTTTTCTAGAAAACTAAATGCAAACTTGAATAAACGAGTTTTAAAACTTGGAACTTTTTGATTGTACTATCGTTTCACTGAATTAAAATGTTTGAATAATATAAAATAAAATTTAAATGTTTGATAAATATTAATTAAAATGCTAGATTAATAAGTAGTTATCAATTCTCCGAAAATATAATTTTGCTTGCTACTACCACTGTGTTCTTTAATAGACGCTAATCTGCATAAAATTTTAACACCGCAAGCTTTACAGAAAGCATGATTATTACTGTTTAAATCTTTATAGAGCCACGAAGAAAATAATGGATTTTGTTCTCATTCACGGCCATTGTTTTGTTCAAATTTACGTTTCATTGTAATTATAAGAACGCGTTGCATCCGATTGCCACGAGATCTAAACGAATTATGTAAGAAAATGAAATATTGACATAAGACATTATAAAGGGAAATAACCCTTAAACTAGTTTAAACGAAAATCTGAATCGTAATTAAAATAATTATTAAAATATACTCTATTCTCTCAAATTATAGTGCAAAATACTATTTCTGTCAACATAATTTATAGGCTTGGACACAAGTCCTTTCAGTCGGGACTGTTCTTACTTCAAATCTATTGAAATCTACGAGATGTTTGGAAACTACTGCATATCTACTGCATGGACAAATTTTCATTGGAAATCTACTGCTGCAGTAAAAATCTAGTTAAACGGTCACACTATCAGTGTTGCCAACAGTTAAAAGATTCTACTTATATCTTAATCTGTCATTAATACGATTCTTTGGTACCGATTTGTTTTACAAATTTTAATTGGAATTTTATATTTGTTACAGCAATCAAACCACAGCGTATTCTTAACATAACAAATAAAAGATTTAACTTTATTCTATTCCTCTGTTTATACCTATAGTCTCTCAACAACGGCATTGAAATGAGGCAGTATTAAGAGAGTACTACCAAACGCTAAATCCTCAAATCTCGAAGTCCCTTGGCCCCTTGGGCATCTTTAAATAGCAATACCTCTAGTATGTGGCAGTTCCATAACATGTTTGAATGATATCAACTTTCATTTTTCTTCTGCCACTAGTCTGTCCAGTTGCTAGTCTGTCCAGACCCAATATTATCAACTTTGAATTTTCTCCTGTACCTTTTGTGGAAATTAAAAAGGGGATCCTGTCTATCTGTTGTAACGCAAAGGTTTGCAAGCCGTAGGATGATAGTTACCATCTTGGATTACGTCCTCGAAATTATGAACTTCTTTCTTAACCACATTATTAACTTCTTTCTCGACGCTAAAACCTTTTCATCTCTCTAGCACAAAGCCTACATCATCAATCGGCAAACGTTCAGAGGTCATTGATTCCTCAAACAAATTTCCACCCCCCTTTTCAACTTCTTTTAAAGGATAATTTCTGGGATAAAAAAACTATCCTATATCCTTTCCCGGGACTCAAACTAGCTCTTTAATGAATTTTATGTTAATCGGTTCGGTGGTTTAAGCTCGAAGAGGTAACAAACAGACAGACAGACTCACTTTTCCATTTATAAGATTAGTATGGATGTGGATGGTTGAAAACTTAATCAACTTTTAGTTTAATATAAAATGGCGTAAGGGGTCCACGGACGGAAAAGTGTTAGCTGAGTCTTGTTACACATTTTTTGATCCAGCTCCTATCCGCTCAGAGCGTGCAACGCGCGATAAGGAACTTCTAAATGTCTGGTTGTTGTTGACGTTAACTTGCTATATTATACTAATTTGTGGTTGACGTTGACAAGACAACTTCATTATTTCTTTTTATCGTGCTTACAGTCAGGAGTTCGTGCGGTGACAATTTCCCATTACGAATTATACTTCGTTTTCTGTATTTCTACTTGTGAATAAGCTGTAAGTATGTTTGCACAATCCGTTTGTAGTACATACTGTGCCGATACTTTCTGTTAGATACTATATGTTAATTTTCTTTAAAAAAGTATTGTACAACCTTACTTGCCATATGGATTCATATTGTGTTGATTAACATGTTTTATTTAAATAATTGTTTTTATAATTCTGAAGCATTATTTTATAAATATGCGTTAAATTTTTAAGTGAAAGGTACTAATATACCTTTAAAAGTATTGGCTTTTTAAATGCAGCCTTTCTATTAGATTGATCTACATACCTTTGTATAAACTACTTTCGTAAGTAGGTAAAGTACATGATGCAATTGTGTCATAATTTTGCAACATTTTGGTGTCTTAATCCATGAATTTAATTTTAATTATATCAGTGTTATTTATTGCAAACATGTTTATGAAATTAAATAGACTGTAGTAGCATGAAAGAAAAACAAACAAAGTTCTAAAAATTACTATGAACTACGGAATGTAATAATTAGAATATCAATTGATATAGGTCAAGAGGTTTTTGAAAAATCAACAAAAATCTAAAACAAATACATACATTGAGGATATTTTTGTTTACTTCCAAAACCTTGCTGTCTCATTGCAGCGGTTTTGTTAGTATTGTTTGAAGTCGGTTCAACTTTTTTTTAAAAGGATTTCTTTACAAAAAAGGTCATAGAAAGATACTTGAGATATATTTTTGAGATATGCTCTTGACTTTTGAATGTGTCTATCAGATATAAAATTTGGATCATTAATAAACTTTTCAGGCATTAATGATTTCGTAACTACGATTCTTATTGATGGAGCTTGCCGCTTCTTGAAAATTGCCGAATTCATATAATTTGCCTTTTTTATTAATTGATAACTACACTTGGATATGAACATGGTCACAGCTCATAAAGGCTCAAAATAATATAAAGTTACTGATTCTGTTACAATCAATGTCTATTTACCATGTGTATGAACAATGAAAATCATAGCCATTTTACTGTTCTGGGAGCTGCAATTATCTGACCAAATGTTAATTTCCTTAACATCTCGGTTAGCCAATAAGAAAAAATAAAATGCACTCATCATATTCTCTTTCGTCCTGCATAGGAATCGTGCCAATTAACAGCTAGGGCTTTGCATTAGTTGGTTATTTTACCAACTGGTGTAAATGATTGATTTAATGCAATGAGCCGCTGGGTAACAAAATTACCTTTTCTAGGTCCGAACTGACAAATATCTGTGATTGAGGTTGCTTTTTATGCAAGTTATACATCTGACAAGCCTCGCATTCTTCATTTCAGTAGAGTAGAGTATCATCATGTTTTTTTTTAATCTAGTACAATTACAAATTTACAAAAAAGTAAAGTAAAGTGTTTTAACGGCACTATTGAGTACAAAAATCAGTTTACAACAATTTAGTTATGTAACTTACATATAAATTACAACAAAAAAAAACTAAGGGCCTTAGCCGGGTAGGTTTCGAAATATAGTTAACTGCGTTTTTGAGTTGTACACTTATGAAAAACACATGATATAACGGCATTTTAACTATCTTTATCCCGAGAACAAAAATAGATAAAAATAAACCGTAAATACAGATCGATAGAGCTTTTTTTTCTGATTAAGGTAGATTTAAAAACTAAATATCGACCTCATGTGGGTTAACGGCATTATAGTTTATGCACGGCAGATGTGACTATTTTGTTGATTATATTTATTACTCATGGTAGAACTTTCGTCACCTTTCCTGTTGTTGAACAGTTGGCTTTTTACGTAGAGTATTCAGAGATCAAATTCTCGTTGTCCAGATAAACCACCCGAAATATTATTGTAATCAAACATTATAGATATAGAAATAATTTAAGTTAACATTAGTGTCGTGTAAGTTTAAAGATAAGATGTTGTAATAAACAACTATCGCTGCCGGCAAGTACTCATCGAACCTCGCCCCAGAACAGATTTCAACTTTTTTTAAGTGGTAAAAAATTCAAAACCGCAGTACAAAACGCTTTCGCTGACTTCATTGCGTTGAGCAGACTTTTACAGTAAAGGAATAAACAAACTGCCATCGAAATGGCAAAATTGTACAGATAATTTGGGCCAGTACTTTGATTAGCTAAAATGAAAAAATAATCAAAATTTTTAAATTGACAATTTTCATACAAATCTCCAGCTTTTATATTAACCTATGAGGTAAAGACCTAATATAAAAGAACGGAAATATAATTTCTAAAATAAAATTTTTAATTATGTAAATTTAGTTTTTTATTCTGTTAGTACCTTCAAGATCCTCTAACACACCCACGTTTACATCCCAAAATTAATTTTCATTTTTTATTATTTTCAGATCTATAAAACAATGGACTTATCAACAATGACTGGCAACGAAATAAGAAAAACGTTTATCGATTTTTTTATTAGTAAGAAGGGGCATAAATATGTCCACTCATCGTCTACAATACCCCTTGATGACCCAACGCTACTATTTGCTAATGCAGGAATGAATCAATTTAAACCTATATTTTTGGGAAGTGTCGATCCTAACTCTGATATGGCGCAATATGTTCGAGTTGTTAATACTCAGAAATGTATTAGGGCTGGGGGTAAACATAACGACCTCGATGACGTTGGAAAGGATGTATATCATCATACATTCTTTGAAATGATGGGGAATTGGTCATTTGGTGACTATTTCAAAAAAGAAATATGTGCATGGGCCTGGGAGCTTTTAACAGATGTGTATAAACTGCCTGGAGATCGTCTTTACGTTACTTACTTTGGTGGTGACGAAGCTTCGGGTCTTGAACCTGATTTGGAATGTAGAAACATCTGGTTGAAGTTAGGCATTCCTGAATCTCATATTTTGCCCGGAAGTATGAAAGATAACTTTTGGGAAATGGGGGAAACTGGTCCTTGTGGTCCATGTTCAGAGTTGCATTTTGATAGAATAGGAGGACGCGAAGCAGCACACCTTGTCAATATGGATGATCCTGACGTTCTCGAGATTTGGAATTTAGTGTTTATTCAATATAATAGAGAAAAGGATAGTTCATTGAAATTATTGCCAAAAAAACACATCGATTGTGGTTTGGGTCTGGAAAGATTAGTCTCGGTGATTCAAAATAAAAGGGCAAATTATGATACTGATTTCTTCATGCCTATATTCAAAGCTATTGAAAAGGGTACTGGGATGAGACCTTATTCTGGTAAGGTGGGTTCCGACGATGTTGATGGTGTTGATATGGCCTACAGAGTTTTAGCCGATCATGCTCGAACATTGACTATTGCTTTATCAGATGGAGGTTGTCCGGACAATACGGGCAGAGGTTATGTGCTACGTAGAATTTTGAGGCGCGCTGTACGTTATGCATCTGAAAAACTCAATGCTAAACCAGGGTTTTTTGGATCTTTAGTTCATGTTGTAGTTGAATTACTTGGCGAAGTTTTTCCAGAAATCACAAAAGATCCCGAATCACTTATTCAGCTTATAAATGAAGAGGAATTACAATTTTTGAAAACATTGTCACGAGGTAGAAACTTGTTGAATAGAACTATAGAGAAGTTAAATGGATCAGTCATACCCGGTGATGTTGCCTGGCGTCTTTATGATACATACGGTTTTCCAATTGACCTAACACATTTAATGTGTGAAGAAAAAGGCCTCACTATTGATATGGAAGGGTACGAAAAGGCGAAAAAAGAATCTCAATTGATTTCGCAAGGCAAAGCAGCAGGGCAAGAAGATTTGTTGGCCTTAGATATTTATGCTATAACTCATTTGCAGGAAACTGGAATAGCGACAACTGATGATTCTCCTAAATATAACTATATAGCGTCCTCTACTGAAAAAGATGCCATCTATAAATTTGCACCTTGTTCAGGAACTATTGTTGCTCTTCGCCGTGGCAAGGAATTTGTAACTGAAGTACACTCCGGACAAGATTGTGGCATTATACTCGATAAAACAAATTTTTATGCAGAACAAGGAGGGCAAATATTTGACGAAGGATATATGGTAAAAACAGATGACGAAAGTGTTGAATTTATGGTGAAAAATGTACAAGTTAAAGGTGGATATGTGTTGCATACTGGAAAAGTTGAAGGTTCACTAAAGGTGGGTACTAAATTAGACTTACACCTGGATACTGAAAGGCGAAGACTTGTTATGAATAATCATACAGGCACTCATGTATTGAATAATGTATTACGAAAAGTCCTAGGGAATGATTCTGATCAAAGAGGGTCTCTCGTCGTGCCAGACCGTCTTAGGTTTGATTTTACTAATAAGGGTCCAATGTCCACAAAACAAATCAAAGAAACTGAAGACCAAATTAAAGATATCATAAGCAAAAATAAAAGAGTGTATGCTAAGCATACAAGTTTAGCCGACGCTAAAAAAATTAAGGGACTAAGAGCGATGTTCGATGAACAATACCCTGATCCTGTACGTGTAGTGTCTGTTGGAGTACCTGTGGAAGAGCTGGAGAAATCTCCAGATGGTCCAACTGGGTATGAAACCTCGGTAGAATTTTGTGGAGGATCTCACTTACATCAAACTGGCCACATTGGAGAATATGTAATCGTCAGTGAAGAAGGTATTGCTAAGGGAATTAGAAGAATTGTAGCATTAACAGGACCAGAAGCAATGAAAGCCATAAACAAATTAAGCACATTAGAAAATGAAGTCAATAATATTGCCAATTTAATTAAAGATCAAAGAGACAACATAAACCAAAAAGAAATTGTTAAGAAAATTGTTGATCTTACAAATGATATATCCCAAGCTCAAATATCGTATTGGAAGAAAGACGAACTTAGAACATTGCTTAAAAATTTAAAAAAACAACTTGATGATAAAGAACGAGCTGCAAAGGCTGTCACTATCAGTCAAGTGACAGAAAAAGCTAAAGAGATATGTGAAGAGAACAAAGACAGTAAAGTTATTGTGTCTGAGTTAAAAGCTTTCGGTAACACGAAGGCTTTAGACAATGCCTTAAAACAAGTGAAACAACTTTGTCCATCTACGTCGGCCATGTTCTTCTCTATAGATGATGAAACTAACAAAATATTTTGTCTTGCTGCAGTACCAAAAAACGCAATTGATAAAGGATTGTTGGCATCCGAATGGATTCAATCGGTCGTGCCGGTAATAGGTGGCAAAGGTGGTGGTAAAGCCGAATCTGGTCAAGCTTCGGGCAATAAACCAAACAGTCTTAATGAAGCTATTGAAATTGCGGAGAAGTTTGCTAGTGTAAAATTGTCTTAATTGATCAAAAAATGTCATGTTGCAAAGAATATCTATCGAAATATCTTCTTTCTTCCTTTTTCTTTTTAATATGGCCTTTGGCGATATAAATGCTCCCTTAGGTCTGGTTGCTTTGTTTAATTTTACATTCATTGGCCTTTGGAGACACGAGGATATTATTTATAGTCTAATTTCATATATTGCCCATACCTAAAGAAATATGCTGTGTTTGATACATGACATCGTACTCGAGCTAGGAATATAACTAATAATATTACATCTCTGCAACTGTGGCTGGGGCATTCGACGAATGTATTCCAACGTGCTACTAATGGGAAATATTGATTTGTTGTGGTGCAATAGTCTGCTTATGCATTTTACCAATATTACATATTATAGATATTTGTAATGCCTGTTTGTTTAGTTATGATAATAAAGTCTTGTAAGTTATTTACTTTATTGTTTTAATACTATAAAGATACTAAAAAAGGTTCTCGCCTATTTATTCCAAACAAATCATAAGCGAACGGGAAATGCCACATTGTTCGCTAATAAAATGTTTGAGAGATTTTTTAGATTATCATCAAATTGCTAACTATAGATTCCACATTTTCTAACATCTGGAGGGTAATTCTTAAATAAATACTGCTACAACTTGTAGGACAATGTTAATCTACAATATTTAGTTAGAAAAAAACAAATTACAAAACTACACAGGTTAATTTATTATAACTTAAGTTCAGCTCAGTTAATAATCTGCTTCTCTTATGTCCCTCCCACAACTCCGACTTCGTGAACTCTTCGTTCTTTGTTCAAGCAGTAGGTACTACTTTGAAATGCGAAAATCTGAATGACCACAAACTGTTTTATATTCAAAAAGAAGGTACGGCAGATATATATAGTTTTTACAAATTTAGTCTAATTGACAAAAGAATTAGATCTCCAACCTGAGTAGTTGCTGAGCTCTCTGTGGCCGCGCAATCCTCCACACGTCTCGTTCGCGCGATCAACTTAAAACCCTATAAGTTCTTTATTTCTACTTTAAAATTTTTTTGGCTTGATCCCTTCGATTTTGACAAATTTTAGCGAAGATTATTTTACGTTTTCGGTAACGCGGCGGGGCAATCGAAACGCACACCAATTTATAACGTAGGTGCAATCTAAGAGTCGTACCCTTAGTAAAATGTTTAATATAGTCAAATGTTGAATACGTAGGTATTGTAAGTATTTAAGTCTCAATGTTTCTATTTTTTTCATGTCAATTTTTCGTAAACCCCTCGATCTAGCTCTTAATTGAAATAGCTAAAATAAGATCTAGCCTAAAATTTATATATCCTCTAAACTAAGACCCGAATAAATCTGTGACAAAAAATTTACGACTAAATTTGGGAGAAGAAATCTTCGACGAGGTCGACCTTGTAATATTTGACGACAAACTTCGACTAGTACCTAAGCCACAAAATTTAGATGAACAGCAGCCTGCTGACACACATTTGAATTATTAATCTACGTCGGCTGGCTGGATTTCGCACGCACTGCACACACTGTACCCGTCCTCGGTGCACAGGTATTTCGCTTAACTTCGTTTAACATACCTAAATACATTATATTTAATTTGGATTAGTCACTACAACAGCGTGATTGCCGGGCAGAACCTATGGCAGTCAGACTTTTGAAAACACAATTATTTAACCCGAGTAGGAATGGAATACGACCTCTAGTTAGTCAAAATCACTATTTATCTATTGTCTGCATAATTCTCAGTAAAATAGAAACTGTTTAACCAATATTTCTTATATTATTTGTTTGTATGTATATAAAGAAGGATCAGAACTTGGTACATTTCACAATTAAAAACTACTTAATATTCTAATATCTTGCGTACGTGATAGTAATATTAAAAAGACACCCGTATTTTTACCGATGTCTTCATAAATTTTTTAAACTTGCGCTATATATATATGTTACGGTTGGTTGTTCTACTACATATATAGCACGTCTCACGCGTGACTACAGCTATCTCTGGATCGCATAATGTCATTAGAAGCAAGTGCCACACGTGTTATTGCCCTAGTCTCGAATCACGAAAGTTTAAAAAATCTACTTGCACATGTAGCATACCAGCACTCATGCAAAAAGCAAGTAGGGGTTTTGACCATCAAAAAGATTCGTCTATAATAACTTGGAGCTAAACTAGGATAAGAACATGTAAGGGTACAATTATCTGCCAAAATTTGTACATGCATTGAATTCGTGTGCCGTTATTTATGGATGATTTCATTGAAGCTGTCAAGGCTTACCAAGGTGCTGGGTACTCATAATAAAAATAAAATATCAATTTGGTGAAAGACTAAAAGAAGTCTGTTTAAAAATTATTTAATGAACTTTCAGACCTTGTTTAAATAAAGTTCATACAAATATTTCTTAAACATCCCACATATTACACTAACAATATCTACATAGTTTATTTATATAGAAGTTATTTATTACAAATATATTCATATAATTATTTGGTTGGTCTTTTATGACAGCACCAATTCCATTGGTGAATATTCCCTCACACTGAGGCGGTGTGCATTCATGATATAATAATTTACAATAGCTATTTTAGTGATTCTAATAATACATAAAAATTAAATTATTCCTGCCCAAAACCTTCAGTTTCTTCTATAGCAAAATTAAGTTTTTCACATAGTTGCTCATAGCTCTTGTAAGGCGGTAGATCGAGTCGGTTGAAGCAAGTATGCGAACGGGGTAACCAGGTGTCTTTTCCAACCTGTAATGTAAAATATGCATGGTTAATAAAAGTTTATCTTACCACATTCAAAATTACAGAAACAATGGATTCAAATAACACGCTTATAATAAATAAGAATGGAATGCGCAAAAACCTTTTCTATGCAAAATCTCTGTGGTCCATTTGATCCCATGAGTTCAGCAAATCCACCGACAGGCACTCGACACGTCCCTGTCACAAACTGAAGTAATCGTGCTCGCTTTTCGTTATCCATTTGTCGAACAAACTGAAAAGAAGTGACAAAGTATTTATAGTAACTGCTATCGTTTAAGTGCCTAAACTGTGTGTGTATTCTCAAACAATTTTATAATAGTTACTTTAGCAAAATCTGTTATACAGGGTTACTGGTTACGTCGACCTAGATGCTTTAGGGGGTTGTAGTAGCTATGATAACTAGTAGATTTCACTACGAAATACCATATCCCAAACCTATCACTTTTCAGGATGAACTTTTAAGATTCTTTATAAAAATTAATGAAATTGTGCCTATCACAACATTTTTTATAACTTTAATCGTCATTTCTTCTTTTTTTTACTGTTTTTGTATTGTAGATTCATTGTTTTATAATTTCCATTACCAAAATTGTAGTTAGTTTAACAAACTGGGACGAAGTAGATAGTTTTTCACAAGATTTTTACAAAAATCAGAAAATTTTAGGATATCCTAAAAATAGTTATGTTTGGGATATGGTATTTCATAGTAAAATCTAGTAAGTACGAGTAATAATGGCTACTACAACCACACACTATATCTAGGTCGACCTAACCAGTAACCCTGTATACAGTCATTTCCGTCTATTTTTTTTTAGACACTAGGCATTATTTAAGGACCTTATTTTTGCAAAAAAAAATATAATATAACAGTCCACTGCTGGACATAGGCCTCTCCTTAGAAAAGAGGTTTTGGCCTACTATACCACGCTAGCCAGACGGGTTGGTATTGGATTGGTATTACAAAAAAAAATGGTAGGCAAAATTTTCAACATAAAATATTTCACCCGTAGAAAATATTTACCAGCGTGGTTACTAATTCAAAAGTACAACATTGTTTTATGCTAGTTACGTAAACGGTGAGGCAAAGGAATGCATCGGGGGATGCCGGGTGTGGAGGTGTATATCAAACAATAAAATAATTAGTAGGTCAGTTGGCCGCGTCTTGTCGCGTCGGTGCATCCTTTGTGCTTACTACTCGTCCTCCGTGACGTCGACAGTGCAAACAATGTTTTCTAATCGCGAGTATTACGAAATGTTGCTTTGTTACAAGCGTAGTCGTGAAAGCCTAAATGGTGAACAGCGATTCGGAAAGTACACCACGACTCCGAAGATAACCGCCAAACGATTTTATCCGCAAATCGAAATCGGAGGCTATTAGACTACGGACACGGGATGCAGCACAACGCTTCCGTGTTAGCAAAAGCCCAGTATGGAAGCTGATAAATACCACTGGCGTTACCATTATCAAAAAGTCCAAGCCTTACAAGAAACAGAGGCTATGTGGCTTATCGCACACCCCGGTGTCAATATATTGCCTTTTGCCTACCTAGATAAATTGAGTGGCGTTGTAAAGTAGTTCATGGACGACATGCCCCTTCTTTTTTACAGGGCACAACAGGACTTTTTACAAACGAACTCTTAAATGAAGCTTTAGTATTTGGATGTAGCGAAGTGTGCGGTACCGCTGGAGAGTTCATTGACACTTGCTCGCCTACCGAGAACAGTATGTCTACAAATTTCGAGTTCTTGAGACAATTTAGAGATGCTAATTACTCAATATTTTTGTACTATGTGCCACCAAACTAAAATGCAGGTTTCTCATAAATTTTACTAAAGATTCTTCTGTGCTAATATGGACAGAGAAGAGAAAGTCACCCTGTATATATTTAGATTTTGGGCTTTTAGGAACCTCTGGGTTCCCACACAGAAGTGGGTCATCTACAAGCCGTAGATTTGCTTTCTAGGGTATATAAAAAAAGGTGCATTTGGCGGAACAAGTTTGCTTTCTTTAATATTAAATTTTTTATTTTTCTGATTCTGTATTTTAATAATTTAGCGACACAGGAGTTTTATGTTTTTTGAAACCTGGTTTCCGAACGATAAAAACATAGCACTAAATAACAGAACCCCGGATGTACTTATGTGATCTCTAAGTTTTATAAAATTTTGCATAAAAATATTTTTCTAAATAATTTATACCAAGCTCGACTGGTAGAGATTTATGTTTTATTGGTTTTTCATTACGTCATCAGTATCTTTAAAGAAATGTGTGAATAAGACTTTAAAATAGGCAGAGACAAATTGCGTAATTTCAAAATATCGGCAATACATTCAGTCAAAAAAGTATCAGGAATGGATGATTGTTTTATGGTTCCAAATTCAAATTTATGGTTTTTTTGGTTGTTGTTAGATTGGCACAACTGTTTTCCATTTTGGCGCGGAGTTTGAGTTGCATCTGTTATTTATATTAAATACAGTGCTGTTTTTAGTTATATCATATCTAGTGTGTATTGTGTGCGAATTTCATAATAGACAAAAACATCGAACAAAGAGTTTGTCTTGAATTTTGCATCGCCAATATTCGGAGTCACTGAAAATATTACAGAAGGCTTACAGTGAATCGACATTATCAAGATTTGTATGCCATATGGCAGAATGTACCAGGAACTTACTTAACTTACACAACATCTAATTTGTATTTTTACCTACATTCTAAACAAATAAAGATTGATTTGATTTGATTTGATTTGATTTGATTTGATTTAACATCGCAAAAGTGAAGGAAATAGTGACTGAAAATCCTTATTCAACTTTGAGAGAGATAGCCGGCGAACTTTCTGTATCTCACGAGTCGATCCGTACCATTTTAACTAATCATTTGAGTATGAAACATGTTACCGTTCGGCTAGTCAAAAAAGACCTGAATTTACTCAAAAACCACAATCGCATGAGAGTCGCCGATGACATGCTAGAACGAGTCAATTCCGACCCAACATTCATGAAACGCATTGTTACTGGTGACGAGACGTGGGTTTACGAGTTTGACATGCAAACTAGTCAACAAGCTCCGGAGTGGCGACTTCCAACTGAACCGAAACCGAAAAAACCACGCCAAAGTCGATGAAGTCAAAGTCATGTTGACTGTTTTCTTTGACTATCGCGGCGTTGTGCACTCGGAATTCTTGCCGGAAGGTCAAACGATAAATAAAGAATATTACTTGAGCATTATGCGGTATTTAAGAGAGCAAATTCGACGAAAAAGGCCAGATTTGTGGCAAGAAAATTCTTGGATTTTGCCCCACGGTAATGCGCCTTCTTACAAGGCCATCATTGTAAACGAATTTTTGACCAAACACTCAACAAATACCATCGAGCAACCACCATATTCACCAGATATGGCTCCAGCCGACTTCTTTCTTTTTCCTAAACTCCAATTACCACTTCGTGGCACCCGTTTTCAATCGGTAGAAGACATAAAGGAGAATTCGCGGCGAGAACTGAACTCAATTCCGGAAACAGCGTTTAAAAATGTTTTGATGACTGGATTATTCCTTGGCGTAAGTGTATCGTTTCTGAAGGAGCATACTTTGAAGGTGATAAAATAATTTTGGATGAATAACAAACATTTTGTGTATTATTGATCTTTTTCCGGTACTTTCTAGGCAGAGTAGTATATAATCCGCATTGGGGTCTAAAGTACGTTTACTTTTATTCTGAAACGTCATAACATTTTGCTAGTGTAAATTACACGTATCTCCACAGATGTAAAGCGTTGCCCTAACGTATTTTTTTTTTATGGAAGTACGGGCAAACTAGCGGACGGATCACCTGATGGAAAGCCACTACTGCCGTAAACAGCAACAGCTTAAGTGAATCTAGGACTAATTTGAGCGATTTGTTGGTGTTAAAAATTTTTATGTCTTTTCGGGTCATGGCATATGAAATATTATGCAAATACAAACCTGCCAAAACCAAGCGACTTGCTTGCTCGTACGAGTGTAATGGCGGTAAATAGTGTTTCGATGCCAATCGTCCACGTCGACCTCTTGCATTCCACAAAGCATCAATTCCAGTTCGCGTTCATCAAAATATTTCAGCCACTCCAACGGTACAACCTAGCAATAATAGAAACGTACAAGTGAGTTTAATTTCGTAATGTAATAATAGAAACACTTGATTTTGTTACAATTACAAGAGAGTTATTGTCTTACTTTAAATAAGTATACTTTAAAAATTGTCATTGACAATAATTTAGTTTAATTATTTGCATGCACAGTGAATACAAAAATTGCAAAATCGCAATCCTTACTTCGTTAAAACCATCTAAAAACGCAGATGTTTGTTCTTCTATCCCCCGAGTCATTCTCCACTGAGTGACCAGCTGCAGATACTGTTCCTTATTAGTCTGAAATTTACATTTAAAGAATAAGTATAAATCGCCAAATATTACCACAATTAGGCTACTATTGATAAAATAAGTACCTCAGTAACGCGTTCTTTATCACCAGACGGCTTCAATTCGTGATGTATGACTTGCCCTAAAACTTCAAAGTCGACGCTAAACCACATTTCTAGACCACACTCGTCAATGTTATTGTCTTTAATCCATACTAAAGAGTTATAGAACTCTGGATCGATTGATTCTATATCTTTCATAGTGAGTTTCTTGTTCAACATTCTCTTATAGAAAGGCATTGTGAAACCAGAATAAATAAATCTACCATGGTACAATGCCATCGCAATAAATCGACCTATAAACTTGAAATACAGAAGATGGTCCGGATTGACGTAACTCGCCGGGTTAATTTGCAAACTGTAGTTATTTTTGTTCGCGTACTCAAATAAACAGTACATGGGATTTAAAACTTCATGTGACAGTAAAAAGAACCACTCTCGACTGACGCCTCCATAATCTAATCCCTCCTCGCCGCGGAATATTATGTACAGACGTCTACGTAACTCATATGCAGGTAGCCTCATTATCTGTAAAAAAAAATTATTGCTTATTATATTATGTATTTTAGTATACATAGAAAGCATTTATGGAGATGTTCCGTGGCCCGGTATTGGGATTATAATATATGTAAATTTTTACAGAGATCATCACGTTTGAATTATCTCGAAGTAACCTTCAGTAATGTCTCACTGAAGGTATATACTATAATAATCTATCGATTATTCAGTGACCATACGGTTTTTCATCAGTCCTACTGCTTAACCTTGTAGGGTAGCCACTGCAGTACAATTATTGAAATATCTTAAGCGTATGTCACGAGTGCACATAAATGAATAACGGTCGGAGTACCTGGTGGTAAGAATCCTCGAAGAGCGACTGTCTCGAGAGAGTTATTTTGATGTGGCTGGGCAGAGCGTTGCTCTGGCAGAGGTAGCGGAACTGGCTGAGCTTCCAGCGGAAGGAGCGCTCGTAAGCGCGCGGCACGCCGTAGGCGCCGTGCGCGCCCTTGGGCGCTCCGGGCCGCGGGTCCTGGAACGTCGTGGTGCGCGTGTTGTGGTCCACGAAGTAGCGCGTGCCGTCCTCCGTGAAGCGGATCTCCCAGCCGCCCGGCAGTGCCTCCTCCAGCGCGCTCACCTCCTGGCCCTGCCGCACGCGTTAAATTTTTTTTATATCTATACTAGCTGACCCGGCAAACGTTGTTTTGCCATATAAATTATTTCAAAAACTTTTGGTCAAACAAAAAAAATGTTGGGGGTATGAAAAATAGATATTGGCCGATTCTCAGACCTACCTGATATGCACACAAAATTTCACGAAAATCGGTCGAGCCGTTTCGGAAGACTTCAACCACGCACACCGTGACACGAGAATTTTATACACGGTGATTTTGAAAGCGTTTTGGAAAAGAAAATTTTGAGAATTTTTTTAAATACGTTTGAAATATTTATACCTACAGTCCGTTGATAAATTGATTTGTTGTGAAAAGAACAATCGTGGTTAATAATCGAAAAGAAGTTTAAATAAAATAGGTATTTCCGACGATCCTAAGCCCGTGTAAAGTATGAAGGACAAATTGGAGTCTATCTACGTAAGTACTCGCTAGCTCGCGCCTATAGGTATACTTTTATCAGCTGTTGTTAGCGTCGGCGGTGTGCAGCGGCCGCCGAAACGCCCACGGACGTGTTTCATTCATATAAGATAATGAATGAATGATCAGTCCATTACTACTTTCCAAGTCGATCGAGTAAAAATGAATATTAAAACTGAAACTTTTTTTTAGACAACATTACAATTTATTTAATCATTTTTCTTGGTACTATAGATGATTCCAAATTAAAATGTTTCGTTTCCAAAACGCCTAAAAAATCACCGTGTATATTAGATACCTCTTATTATATTTACCTCTAGATGAGATAGATATAAAAGGTGGGTTTTTAAGGGCCAACAAAGGAGAACAAGTTTATTTCTTTTTTAAATCAACAGCACTTGGGGTACTTATAAACAGTAAATTTAATTATATATAGAGAGAGAGCCAGTGAGGTAACAGTCAATGCTAATTTAAAAAAAAGCAATACCTACATAGGGGCGTTATTAGAAGTCAAACCTGAGTTCTAGGGTCTTCCCACTGGGTGGTGCGGTTCTTATGGTTGACGTAGTAGACTCTGCCGTCGGGCTGCACGCGCCGCTCCCAGCCGGCGGGCAGCGCGCCCAGGGTATCGTCGGCCGCAGCGCCGGCGCTCACCGCGCTCGAAGTGCTCGCTCCCCCAGCGCCCGCCGCGCCTGCCACACTGGCACCCGCGAATGACAAAGAACCCACCAAGGGAACGTTGCCTCCTGCGTTCGCATTGTTATCTAAAGGTTAACTTTAAACTATTAGCACATAGAATGCCAGCCTCCAAAATACACATGCCTATTTCATACTCATACAAATGTTGACGATTGTATCTACAACATAAGAAATTCAATATTTAAAAAATATAGTCGACACGTAGCTAAAATCTAAATCTCAAGGTGGTTTGGAAAAATTGTAAAAAAACGATAAAGAGTCGACAAAAAACTGTAGATATAGCAGAAATTGACTGAGGGTTATGACAAACACTAGGTAAATGTGTAGGTAGATAGTGATTAATTGTGTTGTGGGTTCAAACCCCACATGGGACGACACTTTGTATCATCCACAAATTGTTGTTCTGAATCTGGCTGTTCTTTGTGTCCGTTTCATGTATGTCTTTAAAGTCCCCCGCGACACAGGATATACTCGTAATGCGGGAGTTGTCATAAAAAAAAATCCGGTTTGCGTTAACTACTACACAACAGTAGTGGCCTGCTAATGAAAAACGATATATTATTAAAAACAAACTTTTGTACGCAAACTTTTACTTTGTCTATTAACACACTCTATTCGGCAAAAACATTGATATGATATGTCGGAATCATTTTCCCGGCTTTATTACAGGGTACGGCTTAACACCGCCTAAGAATGGTGAAAAGGATATTTTATACACCGAAATAAATTCTAGAATTTTTTTTTTGTTGACCTGATTATCCTCAATTTCTACTATATCTAGTTTTTTTTCGACCACTGATTATCATCTTCTGACCCTTTTCTCATACCACCTTGAGATATAAACCTCCTTTATAAGGAGAGGCCTATGTTCAGCAGTAAACTATTAAAAGCTGATAATTTAACTGCAACTTTCTAATACATTGTAATACACAAATTTCTAATACACCGTCTCCCCTTGTAGAAACAAGGGGAGACGGTGTTTTTCTCGGGTCGCTTCTCTACAAAGTACAAAACAAACGAAGTTTCATCGTTTAAAAGCTCCTGCGGTTAATTTGACTAGTGATCCACTTACTACTTTATTTAACGTTAGTTTCAATAGAACATCTTACAATATAATAGCAATGTAATTGTAAAATTATATGATACTGAATATAACTTATGAATGTTATACAGAGTAGACACAGACATAGGCAACCCCTAGACTTTTCGTTCAGCCTTAGCAGCAAGTAGATAAAAACAATCAGGAGTTGTATCCCCGAAGTTCAAACCTCAATAATTTATGTATCTCAAATATTGTTTTATACAATTCGTGCTCTTTTTATCATAATTAACATTAACTCATGTCTACGTAAGCAATCGCTATTATGCAGATAAGATTGTGACATGTTAAGTACGATAAATTGATAATGTTTTGTAAAAGTTATTAGGACAATCATATTTAAACCAAAATTATATGGATGTGTCTTATTTATCCTATTTGAAAAACTACCTTTAAACCCATTGCTTCTGACCACGAATCCCTACAACCCGACATTTTTAATTTTTATATGCATATGTGCACCAATTATATTTATTTTCATCATTTATCTTTATTTCACATAATATTGATTGATACTTGACGCTTTGAATTTTCGAGATTAAATCGGTAAAGTTATTCGTATTTTGGCAAACGGTTACAGGCCTATAGATGCATCAAGGGCGGGGCATAAAAGACATTCATAATGACATACCGCTAGAGTTAAGTTCATGGTCAGTGTCAGGCAGGCTGGGCGCGAGCTGCGGGGGGTGCGACGGGTGCGGCGGCTGCGGGTGCGGGTAGAGGAAGCGCTGGTTGCCCTGCGCCATCTGCGCCACGTGGCGGCGCTCTCCGCGCCAGTGCTGGAAGCGCGCCAGGCGCTCGGTGTCGGGCCGCTGCCACGTGGTGGTGCGTGTGTTGTGGTCCACGTAGTACACTCGCCCGCGTGCGTCGCGCCGCACCTCCCAGCCCGGCGGTAGAGGTTGCGGTCGCTCCCACGATGTGGAGCGGGTGTTGTGATCCACGTAGTATCTGAATTTCATAGACATGTCAAATTTTTATTTCTTAATGGATACGATTTTTGCGTAATATGTTTTTATAACAACCTTCGTCCGTAAACATCATATCTCATCTCCCATCCGGCAGGGAGCGGTTCCTCTCCGGGATTTGTGAATTGAACAGAGCCACTCGCCGGCGGCCCTGATGCGGTGACGTCCGCATGCGATGGACCCGCAGCTCCTTCGGGAAGTGACGTTGAAGGGCCCATAATCGGAGGTCCGGGTATATTGGGCGGCGAATTATGGGTCCCGTTGCTCAAAGGCGGCGGCCCTGGTGGCGGCTGCCGAAATTAAATCGTATTAGTAGCTACCCTACTTTCTGTTTCCAATTATTTCAATGAGCATGGACTACAATAGGCAAATAAAGAGACACGATACCTAAAATCCGCTTTTAACTATAATAGGGAATATGCACGTGACACCAAAATGGACAAAATATTTTTATTTGTAATTTTTATTGCTAAAAAAAGATACCCATACAATTATTTTTGAAATTTATTATAATTTAATAGTGAAATTTAATCATCAAAAATTGGCTTTTTTAAGATTGCCTCGCAAATTTCTAAAACGCAACGCTATTGGTTGAATAAATCGTGACGTCAACCTACACTGTCAAGAGTGTCAACAAGTTGTGTGTATTTGTAATATTTGGTTTCTGGTGATTATTTGTTTCATTTTAAGTTAATAACTAATACGTTTTCAGTGTTAAATTATTAAATTCCCGTGTAGAAAGACTCAACACAATGACTGAATATACTTTGTCACGTGCAGTTTTGATATTATTTGGTCACAAAGGAACGGCACAATATTTATAATAAGTTTTTATTGGCTTTTTCATGGTAAGAAGTTAATTGTTATCACTCACTTTTTTAACTTTCACAAACTTTGTGAACTTCACTCCGTTGTTGACATCGAATTCGTTTGAAAGTGTAATCTGACGTCACAAAAAAAGCGCGCCGAAATGGACGTGTTCAAATTGCCCCAAAATGATAGTGATTTTAATAAAAAATTTTTTGCTTAACGGTTTATATTTCGGATGTGTTATATTTATTTATGGTAATGTAATAACTAGTAGAATCGTTTAAAAAAATAAAAAAAATACATGCATATTCCCTATTGGTAAAACTTATTTTGTGTAGCTCACCCTTAAAGTTTGCGAGCGGGCCATCGATCTCATGGTTTCAGGATTGCTTCTCATTCTCAATTTTGCACGTACTCCTTCATTAAGTGGACTACCGGTATTTGCATTTTCGCCAAGTACTTCATGTGACTGACTAAGAACTGAAGGGTCAACTCGTAATCCATCTAAAAGTATAACCAGCTCTGCCGTCTTGACTTCCCCACCTGCACTTGATGAGTTTTCTTGTGAGACAGTCTTCATCAAATCTGAGTAAACGAAAATAAAAAGGAAATAAAATAAAGTGACATTAAGCGACTTGTGAACTTTATGGATTTAAGGGACATCTTTACATAGAATAAAATGAAGTCGTTTTTTTGGGGTTGTACGCTTAGATCTTTTAAACTAAGCAACGGATTTTAATGCAGCTTTCACCAACAGAGATTGAGTGATTCAAGAGGAAGGTTTATATGTATAATACATGCATATTATTGTAGAGAAAAGCCGAGAATTTCAAAGATTTGTAGTAAAAATATGTTTTTGTGCGCTAACATTGCATACGCTGTCTAAACCTTACGAGATAGACCAAAATAATGTACTAGGGAATTGTATATGTTAAAAAGATCTACAAAAAAGTCCGCAACGGTATGTCTATCTCCTAAGGACAACCCACAGTAACTATATTTTATAAATATTACAAAAAATAATGGGTTATTATTCCTAATCCAATGAAATACGTTAAATACGTTGTGCATTTACTGTAGATAAAAATGAATATTTTAGAAGATATTAGAGGTTTAAAATGCGAGGTCCCAACGACCGTCGAGCCGTACGTCCGGGTGGCAGTAGCCGGCAGGATCAGAGCGGGCCTATAAATAGTACATTTAAAGTTGTCCTGGGCCTCAATTCTGCTATTTTATGTTTACGCCAAGCCAGTGTCATACCACTGACACGCTATTGAGATGCCATCGAGTAGCCATTGGCATCGGTATTTTAATTATTTATTTATTTCTTTTTTTATAATTTTTATATTTTATTCCTTAATAATTTATTTTAATTTATTTATTTCTATTTTTTTTATATTTTATTCTTTAATAATTTATTTTAATTTATTTATTTCTATTTTTTTTAATTTAATTTTTTTAATAAGTTATTTTAATTTATTTATTTCTTTTAATAATTTATTATAATAAAAACAAATAAATCATTTCCTCAAAAAACGTAATATATTTTCAACTAGCGATATTTATACCGATGCCAATGGCCACTCGATGGCATCTCTATAGCGTGTCAGTGGTATGACACTGGCTTGGCGTAATAGCAGAATTGAGGCCCTGTAGTCTAGTCCTATGATAATAATAGTATAATTAATTACTTCACACAGACACCGTATTAGTAGTATCTATATTGCACCCGTGCGAAGGCGGCACGAATCGCTAGTATTTTATAGAAGAGCTTTCTACCACAAATGGCTACTTAGCTACAGTAGCTATTGTTTTAAAATATATATATAACATAATGATACAAATTTATAAGGCACTTATAATATCAATTTGAACACTTATAAGCGTTTGGTATAAAAAGAAAAGAGATGCTGGAGGGTCTCGACCGTGACACCTGGGGTCGCCTTATCGAGCGGTGCAACAAAAGCTCCGTCAGGCCGCCCTCATCGAGACTCTCCAGCCCAACTTTCTGCAGAAAGTGGTTGAGGGCCTTTTAGCGCAACGGGCGGAGCATACACCCCCGTCGATCGCCTCCTTGAACGGAGGCGACGGGGTGAACCATGAGGACGGTGTTCCACCCGTCACAGATTCGGAGATAGGGGCAGCTGTTCTACGGATCCGTTCCAAGAAAACGCCCCCCGGACCAGACGGAATTCCTTGAGTGCTGGCCCTAGCCCTCAACCACATCACTTTGTCACCTGTAAAAGCGGTCGCCTTGGGAAGGTGTTCGAAGCTAGTTTGGCGGTGCTCCGGGAGTAGTGGAAGAGCGGGAAGTTGGTGCTCTTGAGGAAGCCGGGACGGCCTGCCGATTCGGTAGCAGCCTACAGGCCCATCGTACTGCTGGACGAGGCGGGTAAATTGTTTGAGAGGGTCCTCTCTGCCCGCATCGTTCGGCACTTGCGCGAGGTCGGCCCTGATTTGTCGGGCGCCCAATTCGGCTTCCGAGCCGGGCGTTCAACTGTCGGTGCTGTGTTGCGCCTGAGGGCCGTGACCGAAGAGGCGGTGAGTCGTTGGACATCGCCAACGCATTCAATAGTCTGCCATTTAGCACTCCTCTATCATGGGGTGCCGGGGTACCTGAGGCGGCTAGTGGCAGACTACTTAGAGGAGCGTACCGTCATGTACTAGGACGGACATGGTGTTTTGAGGAATCGGGCCATGTCGTGCGGTGTTTCGCAGGGGTCCACTCTTGTGGAACATAGGGTACAACTGGGCCATTCGAGCTGATTTTCTCCTCGGGTTGGGTGTAATTTGTTACGACGATGACACTTTGGTCATGGTTCGGGGGGTGAACTTTCAAGAGGCAGCGCATCCAGCCACTGTGCCAGTCTCTCTGGTGGTCGGGCGCGTTGAGACGTCAGGCTTACGGGTAGCCCTTTTAGATAGACGGTAGACGGAGGCCCATTTGTTCCATGGGCTCCGTCGTGATCCTCCCCCTGGTCCTCAATCGTGGTCAGCTCGGTCCTCGTATCGGTTCAGGCCCAGAAAAAGTACCTAAGGAGTATTGGTGTTTAGAGCCATACGCGGCTACCACACCGTGACGATGGAGGCAGCATGCGCATTGGCCGTGTCTCCCACGTGCGATTGCAGTGAGGACTCGGCTCAGCACACGCTGGCAATTAACCCGGCTAGGGCGTCGCAGCGTCGGGTCCTCATTGCAGTCATCATGGAGGGGATCTCTCAGTACCGGCCGTCATACGCTCCATGGCCGGTAGTGACAGTTGTTTTACCGCGGTCGCATCCTTCTGTGAAGACGACATTTCGTCTAAGGAGGTGGCGGAGAGCGCCCGGTAGGATGATCTCCAATCGGAGAGCGGAGGCGCGCTTATGAGCGGGTTTTCCCCTCCATCCGCCATAACGGCCAGCCGCGAGGAGGCCCCGTCCGCGTGTGCGCTAAATAGAGAATGTACGCGAAGGTAGTGCCTGCGACGTTGCGGGCTAGTGCTAGAAGGGGTCCAGATGTATTAATAACAGCAGTTCCCGGATCCCTCCTATTACAGGCGCAGAGTGGCACTCCGTGTGGTTTCAGTCGGCCCGATACCGACACACCACCCCGTCGCAAACCCCGATGTGGTGACGGCCCGAGGAGTTTCCACACGTTAAAAATAAAAGGTTCGGCGCAAGTTTGTGTGGCAAAAAATAAACGAAGGGCCACTCTTAAACACATAAAGAAAAAGTATCTAGCATCATCCTACGGCTGAGACATTCACTGGATCGTCGCTAATGAATGTGATTAAATCTCTGGAACGCGTTCCCACACGAAATCAGAATGTCTACTAACTGATTCAATTTTAAGTTTACAAACTCAGTAGAGAGTTGTAGACGGAGACATCTGTTTAATATTTTAAGAGCGTCTTTATTATGTACTAGCGATCCGCCCCGGTTTAGTACTGATGAAATATAGATATTAATGTGGTGTAGGTATCGAGTTATTAATAATATTATTATTTTAATTATATACTACAGGATATCTTCATATATAATGTTTATAGCTGCTTTTCATGAGACAATACAAATATGGATTACTCTGGCAAGCGCCGCGCCCGCCGGCCTCTGTCACCCGGGACATACGGTTCGATTGCCCCTCTGCCCCGTATCTTAAATCTCTGATATCTACTAAGATTTTAATGATATTCTGTTTTATAGGTACGGCAGTTTTGATCTACATTAAATGCACAAAGTATCTAACATATTTAATTAGATACAGAATAATGCTGTATTGTTTAAAATAGCTCATAATTTTTTGTAATATATGAGAGATAAAAATGGTAACTGTGGTTATCCTTAGGAGATAGACATACTACTACCGCGGACTTTTTTCTAGATATAAAAATACAATTCCGTAAATCATTATTTTGATCTATCTCTTAATGTTTATCCAGCGTTTGCTATGTAAACGAACAAAAATAAGTTTTTACGACATGGCAATTCTTGAAAATTTTCGGCTTGTGACTACTCTTTCTATCGATGAAAACCGCATTAAATACAATGCGTAGTTTAAAAGATCTAAGCATATCTACAGGCCGCGGGAAGTGACATCGTTTTATACCTTGTAGAGATGTATCTCTGTACGTATATTTAGGTATATTTACAGTAAGCAAGTAGCGCAAAACACCACTTTAGGTATCAGAGGGGTAAGTCCTGCATCGGACGAGGGTGGGAGGGGGGTACGTGGCCGCCGACGCTGCACCTCTGCAAGATCAGTTGTGTATCTCGCTCTAACGCATTAATTTCACTTCTTTGCTCTAACGTACTGTTATTAACATAATTGTTATAGGCCAGAAAAATAGTTTTTAATGTAGGCCAAATAGTCCTAGTAGGGTAAATAACCTACCTTTTTTAAAGCAGAAACACCACAAGGAATAAAAAAGCAATTACCTCCGTTTAACAAACTGTGGAAGCTACGGGTGTTACCATCCGCACTATACAAAATATTCTTAAAGAAGGAAAAAATGAGAATTTGCTCTAATGCCCTTTTACATTTCTAATATAAAGAATGGATGTGCTCGTGTAACTAGTCTCGAGTTGTTAAGAAGCTTTATATGTCTTTCACTTGTTTGCCACTTTAATATTTAAAACATTCCTTAACCTTAACCTTTTTCAAATAGAAGTAAATTTATTTAATTCAGAATTGTATAATGTATAATTATTAGACTTGCAACGAATAGTATATTCGGCAGTATACCGAATACCGAATATTCGGCGAGGCCCTTGACCGAATAGCCGAATATTAGGCAAAAGTATTCGGCTGGATTTTAGCGCCAAAAACTTGTACAGACGTGAATTAAATTATGTACCTGTTTTATGTACCAATGACTACTTAATAAATGATTATAAAAGAAATGAGAACCTTACCCTTCTAACTTTTGATTACCACAATAATTCAAATACATAGAATCCTCCATTTTTCCAATTCAGAAGATGATTATGTACCTGCGTTATGCACCAATGACTACTTAAATGATTATAACAGAAATGAAAATATGAATATATACGTAATCAATCGATTTTAATTTTTCATTTTACCAATTATTTCTCAATGACAAAATATATTATTTAAGTATTCGGTATTCGGCCGAATAATATGTAGATATTCGGTATTCGGCCGAATATAATAAAAGCAGCCGAATATGCCGAATACCGAATAGTAACCGAATATTCGTTGCAAGTCTAATAATTATACAATTCTGAATTAAATAAATTTAGTTTTATTACTACCTACTTGTAATAATATTGCACAAAACAGTATAAAAAATGTATTTGTATGCTCAGTACGTTCGTTTGCGAGTGTACCTGCGCAACATTAGATTTACAGCCAACTTCGTTAGCGCAGAGTTATTAGGCGCGTACTATACACATACACCAGTCTAAATACATATATACACACCCATTTACACACATACACACTAGTGTACCTATATATCTAGGCTATTCCTTCATAACACTTGTTAATTTAATCATACATCTAATTACTTTGTAATATACCTTGCCACACTTAGCTTTGCATCCCCAAAGGTTGGATAAAAAAATAAAATGCGTGAGGCATTAAGCCTTATGCAATATAATTGCATGAAGAATAAATATGTCCAATTTGCAAAAGTCCAACTGTCCAATTCTTAATTTAATTAAAAGATTTTTACAGAGCTTGATGCGTGCAAGACACTGCTGGAGATATTTAAAATGTGTGTATATAATTTTATATTATATTCACATTCGTCACCCTATTAAACAGAAGATTAAACATCCTATTAATACCTAACCTATAGGACATGACATTGATTAATGCTAAATGCTGCTTGCTTAAACTTTAAGTATTCAATGTAAACCAACTGTTGTAGTATGTATGTAAAGTTGTGGTATATTTAATATAACTGTATCTATCTGGTAACTAAAATTGGCTGTGAGTTTGTTTGCCGTTCTGCTCAAGTTGAACCTTTTGGAAACAAGCAGTTGTAGATGGGCACAGGCATATAGCTGATTGGATTTAGTTTGCAAAAAATTTCACAAAACAGGTTGTTAGTGTGTTGATCTATGACTTCAGAGTCTACATAAAAGACGGTTTAAAAAATATGAAATATAGATATATTTTGTCTGAGATTTTGAAATCAAGTTTGCAGTCTTGTACTGTCATTGGTCTTGAAACAAAATTGCTCACAAACTCTAAAGTAACACCTATAGAAATGGACAACCAACCACTAGAATATGTACAGGAATATATCTACCTAGGACAAAAAATCTCTCACGAAGAACAAACAACTAAAGAAATAAATAGAAGAATAGCAAATGGATGGAAAAAGTACTGGTCACTGAAAGAAATTATGAAGTCAAACGAGCTAAACATGTCTACAAAAAGAAAGGCTTTCAACACCTGCATACTTAAAGTCATTACCTATAGCTGTGAAACATGGGCACTCACCAAACTTCACAGAGCTAAACTGGAACGTTGTCAAAGGGCCATGGAGAGAAGCATGACAGGAACAAGGAGGATGGACAAAATAAGAAGTAGTGAAATAAGAGAAAAAACTAAAGTTACTGACATTCTCACTCAAATAGACCAAATGAAGTGGAGATGGGCCGGACACATAATTAGAGACAGGCATGGCAAATGGAGTACGACTATCTGTGACTGGTACCCCAGAGATGGCAAACGTAATAGTGGACGCCAACAAGCGAGATGGGCAGATGACCTGAGGCTAACAGCTGGACACCACTGGAGAAGGGTAGCGCAAGACAGAACCCAATGGAAAGTGCTAGAGGAGGTCTATGCCAAGAGGCACTCTGAATTGTGAGATATTTTATAGACTAATCTTATGAACTGTTTAATATTGTATTTAGATAATTCAGAATAAAGGGCTTATTATTATTATTATTATTGCTGTCATTGGTCTGTCATGAAGTTGTTGGGGTAAATTAGAGAAAATTGAAAGGATGGAACCCATTGATAGATAGATAGATGCTGTTCAAGATAAAATGTATAATATAGGTGAGATATATTGTAATGTCATTGTATACCAGAATGGAATAAGTACAGCACAGTCTAACTTTGAAAGATTTGTTTTTTTTAAATAAACATTCGTGGTATTAATAATATTGATGATTATATTCGATTACACATGTCAAACGCCATTTATTTGTAACATATTTTTGGTGAAGAGTAATTTAAATAAAAGGAAAAACAGTCTTTGTTGGATGAGCAGAAGTAATTAACATTAGTACACTTACCTATGGTTAGTTCTACATTATCACATTTTCCGTTAAAGTACAGAAGAATTTTTAGCAGATGAATTCTTTTTTCTCCTATAATGTTATCTTTTCTAAAACTGTGATAGTCTGCTAGCCGAAACAGTAATTCTGACTGTGGTGTAACAAGCACTGTAAGATCTTCCTTCCATTTTGGGTGTAAGGTGTTTTTGATATAATCAGTTCTTCTAGATAGCTTGTCATCTATTACTACTTGTAGATATGGATTTGGTTTAAACAATCCAGAATTTTTTATGTTTGCTGACTCAACTGTAAAAAAAACATATTAATATACATTTTATGTAATATAGTATAGTTTGATCATAAAACTTATCCTTCAAATCCTACCTCTCCTCCATCCTATTCTCTCAAACAAAACTTATTTTTAATGCAAAATTATTAATGTATGTTATAAAATGAATGAATGGGAAACTCATATGAGTATTTATCACTTAACATTTTAAAATATGCACATCTGCAGAAAAGCCTTAAATTGTGTTTGAAACTTGTATGCCTATACTGAATTGGGTGCTATTAACTAACTTTAGGAAAAAAGTCTTCTAAGGTTAGTCATTAAAGGATTAACATGCTTTTGGTAATGATAACAACTAGACAACAAACTCAATAGTGACACATAATTATTCTTATATGCAAATGCCATGTGATGTTTAGATAATAGCAAATACATCTGTGTAGTGGCAACTATCAGTGGTGGTCAATGACTTTTATTTATTGTTACACCAAGCATTATAAAATTTGGCAAAAGGTATGACCATAGGTCATTATTTCATACAAATTACAACATATGTTTAATAAAGATGAACTGAATTCATTTGAAGGTCTTTTACTACATCAAGAAAGGAGAAACTATTTATAATAAATCATTTTACCTGTTAGGCTTAGCTGATGATATGTTGACAAAGAGATCGGAGTTGTTAGTGCTGGTATACTTTCAGTCATTTTGATTTCAGTTCATATTATGTTAGAAGTATAGTACATTCTCTTACAATTTGTTAACCTAAAAATATATTGAAGTTTTACTTGATTATAATCATTATATCTGTTAAACACTTCTCTTTCACCGAGTGAGTGAGGTTACCGGAGCCCAAATCCCAAGGGCTCCAAAGGCACCAACATGGTGTCCATGGGCGGCAGTAGTTGCTTACCATCGGGTGACCCGTCTGCTTGTTTGCCCCCTTATACCATAAAAAAAAGTGTAGGTCTAAATTTTAAAATCCCAACTCAAAAATCCCTTTGACTATTTGAAAATGCCAAAAAAAAAAAAAATTATTAAACTAAACGAATTATAGGTAATAAAATTAAAAGTTTTCTTTAACTGCATTAAATTCTTCTGTCTGTTTAGGAGGTATGATACCACTAACACAATGATGATTCAAGTATTGATCTTTGTAACTTTTAGTACCAACTCTTACCAATGTTTACTTAAGATAATAAGGATCCCAATAATGGTACACTAAAATTCAAATATTGCGTGTATATCATTAAAAAAATTGAAGTATTTTATTGTGCAATTTTATGTTCTTCAGACTTTCACAAATAATGTGTACTTTATCATGAAACTTCATCAGTCATGAACACTTATCACTTTAGTGTAATTCTTTATCTGTAATATTTTCGATAATGCCCCAAAATATAGGCACTTATAGCTTATATCGAATAATGTGGCTAAGTAAACAATAATGCAAGCATATAACTATTGAACGACGAACGTTATAACGCCATAAAAAAATTACATCAAAAGAATAAAATATGAAAAAATACCATTTGACGAGCTATTCCAAAGGAAAAGTCCTTCAAATTATCTCATATCATTGTTCTTATCTCACTGAAAGGAAATACACAAATAATATTATATCGTCACAGAACATTTATTACACTGATATAATCATAAAAGTCTGTAAATTGCTGTACAAGTAAGTTATGTATGCACAAATAATAAAGGTTAACCCACTGAAAGGAGGAAACGATTGCAACAAAGCAAATACTGCGAAGAACAGAAAATAAATTTGATTAAAAATTACTAAATTCCTGAAATTAGTCACTGCACTGTTGTGTCTTGTGTATGGTGTCAATTTAGTGCAGTGTTGCTAGATATGTCAGTTGGAAGAATGTACTGTTTGTGTACTCTTTGGTCAAGTTCAATAAAAACAGAGATTTTTTCATGGGCATTATAATGATGATTTTCTTTATCTCTTCCAATTAGAGTAAAGCCCAATTTTTTTTTTAAACGAAATTGTATTACCCGTATTCTTGTTGACATTTTGACTCATAGTTACTAAAATTGACAATTCTGCTTTCGTACAATGCAACTATATGTATCGATATGTTGTGTATATAAATATGCTATATAAGCTTGTATTTTTACCATTTTTATATTGATTGACATGCGCATCACTAATGTTAAAGTCACTTTAATATCCTCAAATGTGTGCAGGAACGGGTGTCATGTCCCTCCAACACAAAGGGAGGATCCTCCGACCAGGCGAGGTGATCATGCCTGGCGGGCCGCGGCCCAACGGTTCCTCCGCTGGTCTTCACACCGTCCCGCAGGGGACGCGTGGTGGCTGGATCGGGGCTTTAGCCCCCCGCCAGCAGTGTCTATCGCTACCCCTAAACAGGGGTAGGTCGTGGGATGTCATTTATTTCTGGATGTTTATTTGGGGGGGTTGCCGATCTTCACGCCGCCTCGGCGGTCGAGCCCGAGCCAGGTGAGACCCCAGGCGGTACCTGGGGAGGCCCAGCTCCGGGCGACCAGCGACGGAGGCGGCGGCTTACTCGGCGACCCCTCTGGTGTCTCGTCCGGGATTTTTTATTTGAATTATCGTTTGTTTGGGTCGATCCGCACCGCTTCGCGGTCTGCGGAGCACCCTGTCGTGTTGTTTTTGTTGTGGCGGCGGTCGTCCCCGCCTGCGCACGATGTTCCTATTTGGGCTAAATAGGCGCAGGTGCTCGTAGTCCGGTGAGGGCGGTCGCAGCAACAACAGGTCCTGTAAACATACAATACGACGGGTGCATTATATGTGGTTTGATTGTGGGAGTTCGTCGTCGTCCCGCCGCAGGGGCAGACCAAGGTCTGCCCCTGTGGCGGGGCACAGGCGAACTAAAGAGGCAATAGAGGCTGGGTCGGGACTGTCGATACCCGGGGGTCGGTGGACCGCCTTCCTTCCGGGGTTTCTCTAGTCCGCAACAAGGTCGCGCGGTAATCTCCTTCTGTCTGGGGGTCGAGCGTGCCACGGCGCCAGGTCCCGGATATGACTCCAGGACGAGGTGTCGGCACGCTCGAACATGGCGGCCGCGAGTCGACGTATGTGTGCGTCCAGGCTCTCCATCTTGCGGTCCCTCTCGATGACGTCATTCCTCATATAGCGGGGTGCCCGCACGACGGCGCGCAGCGCAAGGGATTGTTGCGCGCGCAGCTGTCGGCGGCCCGTCTCGCTGGTGAGGGCGTACCAAGAGGGACTGGCGTAAGTGAGCTGGGTGCGTACATAAAGTTTGTACACACCCAGCTTGGCTCGGATCGGTAGGCGGGAATCGAACACTGGACGCAACAGGGCGCGTGTTGCCCTAACACGCGCGACGGTGTTGCGGACGTGTGGCTTCATGGACAATAGGCGGTCGATGGTAATCCCCAGGTATTTGACAGTCGTCGTCCACGGGATGTCTTGCCCGTGGAGTCGGAGCGGTGGTGGGTATATAACTGTGTTAGTTGGCCAGGTGGGCAGGAGGTCTAGGGAGCGCTGCAGTTTCGACGCAGCGTGGCGCAGGTTCATGCTTGTTGAGATGTACGCCGCGTCGTCAGCATACAGCGCTAGCTCGGCTCCCTCGGCGAGGGGGATATCGTCTGTGAACCGTGAGTACAACACAGGCGATAGACAGCTTCCTTGTGGGACGCCGGCCGCTATGTTGCGGACGGTTGATGTCTCCCCCTCCACCACCACTCGGAAAGTCCGGTTGGTCAGGAACGAGGAGACCACCTCTACTACGCGCCGGGGCGTCGGCGTCGTAGCTAGCTTCATCAGGAGACCGGCGTGCCAGACCCGGTCGAAGGCCTTCTCCATGTCGAGAAATACCGCAACGGCGTGCTCGCGCTTGTTTCGCGCCGCCGTGATCCGGTGCAGTACTCTCGACAGCTGTAGGGTCGTACTGTGTTCAGACCGAAACCCAAATTGTGCCGGTCTGGGTGCGATATAAGGGGTGAGGTGCCGCAGCAGGAGCTGTTCGAACACCTTCGAGGTGGTGGGTAAGAGGGTGATCGGCCGATAGCTTTCCGGCTTCAACACGTTCTTCCCCGGCTTCGGGAGCATGATGACGCGTCCCTCCTTCCACGAACTAGGGAAGTGGCCCGTGCGCAGAATGCCGCTGTAAAGGCGCGCCAGTGCTGCTGTTTTTTTTTCAAAGATACCATGAGGTAATAGCCAGTAAAACATACATGCTTGCGCATACTCCATCAGGCCCTATACCTATTAAATACTTATATCAAAATTATTTATCAGAAAAGTATTCTATGACAGGACTTCAACCCCCCCCCCCCCCCCCCGCCTGTAAATTTGAGATATAAAAAAAAACCAATCGACGTATCTTAAATAGTACTTTCCAAAATTATTTATTATTAAAACAGCACCCTCTTAGTTTACGAGTAAAAAATAAATAAAGATACTATATGCTACACCGTCTATATCACTTGAAATACTTCGAATTTCGTACTTTTTGCACAGTGGAAAAACTGCACCCGTGCAAATGTGATCGTTATGGGAAGTGCAAAATGTCCGATTAACAGCTGCCTTTCGGAAACATTACTTTTAGTACAATACCCAGTACTAGTACCTATTAGTGTACATCGTACGTGTACTACCCAAGACTAATAGGAACAATAACTTATTTGTGTTAAATCAGGCCACAGGGACACACATAGGACAACCACGCACTAATGACTTTTGAGTGGCAGGTATCCATTGACTGCAGTCGTGCCATACAATCAAGTGATACGTCTACTCGTTTGCCTCCTATACTCTAAAAATAAAAAAGGAAAGCTAATGAATATTTAAAAAATATCGTACGTCACTTCAGATTTGATACTACATTTTGTAATCTCAAAAATGGTTTCCTGGTCAAGTTCACTCTAAGGAATGGCGAATGTTTACGACCTTCGCTATTAATCGCTGTGTATTTAAATGATTTCGCGAGTTGGATCTTCTCTACTATTATAATATACTGTACTTGTGTTTAACTTATATATAAAGTTGAAGTCGAAGTTGACTGCAAACCGAATGTTGCCCAGGCAAACAAACGTACTGAGCCTAGAATTTTTTTATGTATTTTAGGATGAATTATTAGGCTACAAACAAGTACTATTAAAATTCAATTTATTTAAATCAGAATTGTAACTAATATATAATATGTACATGTGTATCTATTTCCGTACGATTACGTTAATATTTTAAATACTATGTGGCAAAAAAGTAAAATACATATCATGCTTTTGGTAACAACTCCGGACTACTAGGGAATACGTTATCAAACAATAGACAGTTCTAGAATTATTTTCAAAAGTTAGTCTATTAAAGTGGCAAATTACTAAAATAATATGTAAAATAATCTGAAGTAGATCTCATCTCAGTAAATCGGAGTTATAAAAGTAGGAAATCAACTTACAAATATTAAAAACAATTACAAACATAAACAAAGCTAATAACAATATTAACAGATTTTCTTAATAATTATGTTCACAATAGTACGTTAGAGCAAAGCAGATAAGTCATTTAATGTGTTAGAGCGAGATGCACTACTGACGTTGCAGCGGTGCAATGCGTCGGCAGCCAAGTGACGGCCCCCTCGTCTCTTTCCGATGCGCAGAAAATTACCCCTCTGATACCTAAAATATAATTTTAATCGCTGCTAAAATATAAATTTTAAGCTATTGCATAGCTTCTATCGCGGGCCTTGAGCGCGGGGACCGAATCCAGAAATTCCGTAACGAAAAAAAACCTCACGCTCCCCACTCCGACCGGCACAGCGGTGATAGTTTTTAGTTTTGCCATCTATCGATGAATAGCAGAACTTTTTCTAAGGTAGGGTGTTCCTTTGACATGACAAAGGGGGGAGGCCAGTTTATTTTTATTAATGTAATAACATCCACATACAATACCCCCCCCCCCCCACCAAAAATTTTATAATTGCATTGAAGTCCCTTTAAAATACCTTCCCTTCTCTCCCCTCCACTTTTTCATTTATCCCCCTTTGATTTTCTCGGTACCTGGAGCACTTGGACTCCCTTGTTTGGGTTTGTCTGAACCGGGAAAAGGAGACGAACAATCTGGCCCCTATAGATGTTTTTTTGAAAAGTATCGTAACATGTAACAACACTTCAGTCTGTTTTTCCAAAGAGGGGCGAGGGGGGGGGGGGTATTTTCGAGAGATGACTTATTTTTTAAGATTGCATTGAGGTCCGCACAAAATACCTCCCCCTCACCCTTCAACTTTTTTCATTTATCACCCCTTTGATTTTCTCGGTTCCTGGAGTACTTGGACAGCCCATGTTTGGGTTCGTCTGAACCGGGAAAAAGAGATGAACAATCTGGCTCCTACAGATTTTTTTGCTGGTACCCGCGACTTTGTTCCTGTGGAATTTGAAAACACTGCCTTAATGGGTTCGATTCCGGAGCCGGGCAAAATTCTATAGGGTTTTCCTAAGATAATTATTTAATACTAGCTGGTACCCGCGACTTCGTTCGCGTGGAATTTGAAAACGCTGCCTTACTGGGTTCGATTCCCGGCGGGGCTAATTTCTATAAGGTTTTCCTGAAATAATTATTTAATACTAAGTTGATAGAAAATGCTATGCAATAGCTTTAACGCGGCAGTCCCCCAGTGCCACACGTCTTTTTTGCTACCCTTCTCGCGCGAACTTCGTTGACGAAAAGTTTTATGGCGCGTAATATAAGTTATAGCTGCTAGTTGGGACTTCGACTACGTAATATAAGGAGTTGGGGAAGTATGTTTTTTCCCCGGCTATAATCAATCTCTATATTAATAAAATATTTATTAAAAAAAATAGGAGTGTCTAAGCAACGGGAAATCCTGAGATAGTTTCGCCGTGCTGTTTCCGAAACATGAAAGTACTCTCTCTCATGAAAGGTCTCTTCTGCCAACTTTCATCCCTCTCGCGAATTTCACCTAAAATTAATTCAGACCATGAATGGCCCGGCCCGGCATGATATCGAAGCACTACACCAGAGGTGCCCAGACTCTCATAGACCACTTTTAAAATTTAGCTGACCTGAATTTGAATTTTAGACCCCCTGCAGCTACATTTCTACCATATTATCAAGACTCGACAAAAAATGTGAAGATTAGATCTAACTATGGAAATTTGTGTTGCGGCTGAGTTCCAACCACGAATTATAGTTTTCAAAAAATAAAGTAAGAATTTATTGGTTAATTAATTAAATGACTGTGCTGTGAGTGGATGTCAAAAAATTTAAGTTGGCGAATCAAAAAAGTGATTCCATCCAATTTTCCTTTTTTGACATGTGCTCACAGCACACAGAACCAATCAATTCTCACTTATTTAATTTAGAAAACTTCCCATTCGGAGTGGTAAAAAGAAAAAGAAAAATAGTATATTTTTGTGTAAATTCAAATATGTAATTATTACACTATTAATTATTAATGTTATACAATGTAATATGATTACAGTCGTAATATAATTAAAATTAAACATTAATAACGTAACGTAACCTTTAATAAAGAATGTTGAACATATGTCACTTATCATGGCATTCCATCTGTGACAAGTTTGAAAAATGGCAAAATTTGCATTGACTAATGTTTTCCATCATACATTTCAATTTTCCAAGAAAAGCTTATATTTTTTATATTTTATTAAATTGACTGTTGGCTGTTCGAAATAACTGGAACTGAAATAAATAAAGTACCAATGGCAAACTGATTCTAATTACTAAAAGCAACAAATCGCTTCTTAAAACAATAGAGTTTTATGAATACGGCTGAACCGATTTTCATGGAATGTTAAACATTTCAAACAGTCATAAATATATTTTGGTATCAAAGTCGTAAAGCACGTGTACGTAAAGTACGTAAAGACGCATACAATTTATGCAAATATATTTAATTAAGTTATTTTGAGTTAGGATCCTGAAATATTTACAATCATGCAGCTCAATCATACTATATATCTCCTGTAGTAAACCAACACACAGTCGGGTAAAAAAAAAATCTACAAAGTACAACCTTTCTCGGCTTTTTGTCCCATTATCGAAGTATCTAATAATGACTCTGTTCTGACTGACTGTATGGGCTGTTGGCATTTTACTCGTTAGTCTCACTCCCTCAAGTGACAGCATTAGGTAAATGATAAACAATGATTACATGATTATGATGTCATAATAATATCTAAAGTTACTCTTGTCTTGCCATTAACACGAAATTAGTTCTATTTATTTATGTTTTTTTATTTTATTTGTCAGTCCATCATTATCAACTGTCACTATGTCAATTCAAAACACTCAAAATAAATAATATTATGCTTTGCTTTTGTCTTTGACAGTTCATGTGTCATTAGAAACTTTTAGATTATTGATTTTTCGTGGTTTTGATGTCGTTAAATTTCGTTGTTCATGTTTTATAATATATATATGTGGTGAAATCATTGTGGATTAGTTAAATTGTTAAGGTGATCCAATAAAACTTTTTCTTAGGAGTATTTCAGTAAGGTAACAAATGTCTATATTATTTTAATATTGTGGTAATCATTTCTCCAGTCACATTTTTATTGAGTATCTTTTTCATTTACCATTTCTTCATTACAACTGCACATACTTATGTTAAAAGTAAAAATATACACAATCAGTTGAAATACCTTCTGAAACTAGTGGTTAACGTACTGCTCACCTTGATGATTAACTTTCTAATATAGGGACATATCATATATATGCTGAATCGTATTAAGAAATCGAAAAACCATATTTGTAGTCTTACGACATGTAGACCTTACCCTTACAGTGTTAAATCTTAATGACAATGTAGGTTTAGTGTTAGTGTGTATTAGTACTGCAACCTTCATATTGCATTGTTTTGTGTGAAACAAACAACAACACTTAGAGTTTTAAGTTTTGTTTGTTATCCAAATAATATGGCTAATTATAGCCATATTATTTTGAAGAGTCAATTATGACTCAAAACTATTTTGAAAACAAGTAATGTAACCTTTGTTTATATTTATGTGGTGATTAATAATCTTGATGGTAGAACGAATTATACTAAGTAAAAAATTGTAACAGGACATATTGGTCAATCTTGAACAATTAGCATTCTACAATGAGTCCTGTTGAGAGTGTTCCAGTGGCAGTATTAAATTGCATTGATGATTATGTGGAATTACTTTATGATGACATCCCAGAGAAAATCAAAGGATCTGCGCTCATACTACAACTTGCAAGAAATCCTGACAATCTTATTGAACTAGCACGAAATGGTAATTCTAATTAAATGAACAATAATAATAATTTCATTATGTATATTATACTTTGCTGTCTAGGTCAAAATGAAGTAGAACTTGTGCCATGTTTTCTAGGACACAGATTAACTTAAATTGAAACAGTTTTGCTGTAAATACCTACATATTATACATGGAAACACCCATAACAATGTAGAGATAGTCATTCATACAAGTATTTGTACTGAGCGGGAATGAGAACCCAAACTAAAATTTTGAAATCACAGTTAATAGTTTCTATTCTTAAGATGTAAGATATTGTGTTAGATATTTCATTTCATTTCACCATGTAATTGAAATTCCAATGTATAGTGCAGCAGTGTGCTGTACTGTGTATTGATGTATATAAACCAAAGATATTTATTTATTCAATTTAAAAATATGCAACCTATAAAAGAAAACTATGGAGTGTCAGAAAGACTTTACAATATTTTCATATGATTCTGCAACTTTAATTTTCAGAGGCATTGTTAAGTGCACTGTCTAGAGTATTACGTGAAGAATGGAAAAGGAGCATAGAGCTAAGCACAAATATAGTATATACATTTTTTTGCTTTTCCACATATAATGAATTTCATCCAGTAATTATCCAGTACAAAATTGGATCACTTTGCATGGATGTCATAGATTATGAATTAAAGAGATATGACCAATGGAAAGAAAAGGTAGAAGGAAAGAAGCAGGTTCTCACACCGGACAAGGTATGCTAAACTTTGTTAATGTATAAATAAATTATGCACATGGAAAACTCTAAATCTTTAAAAAAAATTGACTTTTCTGTCTAACCTTTTGCTTATATATAAATATATAATCCATTTGTGCAAAAGAAAATTCAATGCAATACTAAATTCTACAAATGCTATAGGTATAGTGGAATTGATTGATTATTAGTTTCAATGGAATAATTGCTGTTACTACAAGTCAAAACGTTTCGTTTCACAGAGAAAAGCATAACTATGTAACATCTCGTTACAATCCTCAGCAAAATGGTGACTTTAAGAATGAATTCAAATGTGCAGCAATTTTCAGCAATTTCAGTTTACTAAAAAATTTTCAATATTTGAACAAAAATTAATACTTGTGTTTCTAGAATGAACTCCCAAAGAGTCGCATCCCAGAACCTAAGCGGCGACCTAAATCAGGAACATGGGCTGTTGCTGATGTAAATTTACAAAAATCTAAATCATTAGTATCCAGTTACCATGAAGATCTCTGCAGTGCCTCTGATGAGTTTTTATCAAAAAGTGATGAAGAACAATTAAAGCGGAAATTAAAGACATTGTCTAAGAGGCAGGAACAATTGTTGCGAGTAGCCTTTTATATGTTGTTAAATATTGCAGACAATGTAAAAGTTGAAGAGAAGATGCATAAAAAAGATATTGTTGGCTTACTCATTGGTGCAATGGAAAGGCACTCAAACATTGATCTCCTTATTCTAATTGTTTCATTTTTGCAAAAGCTTTCAATATTTGTAGAAAATAAAAACAACATGGCGGCTCGTAGCATTATTGATAAATTAGCACCTTTGTTGGATTCTTCAAATGCTGATCTAGTCAATGTCACTTTGAAGTTATTATTTAATTTAACGTTTGATACAAAATTACGAAACAAAATGGTGAAAATTGGGCTATTGCCAAAGTTTATACAGTTTACAAGTATGTTTTTCATTATATTGATAAAATAGTAACTATGTAGGAAAATAAGTAAATATTATTTTTCAATTTACAGGTGATGATAAGCACATAAATTTGGCTATGAAAATATTATATCATTTGAGTATGGACGACCGAGTAAAGTTGATGTTTACTCAGTCTGACTGCGTGAAGCTGGTGAGCTATTGAATAAATAAATCATATGTTACTTATCAGTCTTAATAAGTGAAGGTATTGTTTACGATATTGGATGATCTCAGTTGACAGATATGTTACTGCTAAATGTCGGGGGTGAGTCGAGTGGCAGCGGCGGCGCGACGGACGTGCTCCTCGCGTTATGTATTAATTTAGCGTGGTGCGAGCGCGCTGCAAACCAAATGGCTGCTGAAGGACGATTGCGAGAATTGCTAGCGCGCGCTTTTCGCCATAAAAATTCCATGCTTATGAAACTTGTCCGCAACTTATCACATCATTCACAAAATAAAGCATTGTTTGTGGTAAGTTATATTGAAAATAGGTATTGTAGGTATTGTATATACTGCTAAGTGCGAGGAGGAAATTAAGATGCAATGGGCAGTATACGCATTTCGCCTTAAACTGTGTTTAAAAAGTACATCAAGCAAAATCTTTTTACAATTTAACAATTCTAAGTATTATCATTTTGCAGGAGTTTGTCGGCGACATCGCCGGTGCTGTCACAAATGGAGAGGCAAGCGAAGAATTCATTGTTGAATGTCTTGGAACTCTGAGTAATATTTTAAACCCAAACAATAATATCGATATTTACGCTGTAGTGGAACGATACAATTTAATCCCTCGCATTATGAAGATAATAAATCCAGGTAAAATAAAATAAATATCATATATGAATTTAAAACGGACTGCAGTGTAAAAATATAAAGACTGTTTAATTAAATATACCAATATAAATAAATATACTTACTTAAAAAAAAAATCAAAAAATGTCGTAGGGAATATCGGCGTCGGCATTACTTTGATTCTCAGGACTTGAATGCATGTTGTGCCAGAATTCGAAATGTTTTTTGAGAAAGTACTACAGTAATAAAAGGAGATGAACATTCCGGTTAAAGCCTTTATCTTATATTCGGACATATGGTGATATTAACACGATGCATATGTTTTGAAATCACTCAAGCTTATTAAGTTTATTTCTCATCGCAGCAAACTTCAGTATTTACATGATCAATCTACATTTGATGTCAACTTGAAACTATCAACAATGAATAATTCTACAGGATTTATTCGCTTATTATGGTTTCGCGCTCCAAACTGCTTTTAGTCTTATGTATGTTTATAATACCTTCACGCGGGGAATGCTTTTCGGACAATACCCTCCGTTGGGGAAACGCAGGGCGTGTGTGGGACTCCCGGAGAACCGGTCTACCCACTAAACCCCGTGGCGGCCTACCTCGGCAGTCGGGAGGAGCTCCAGGAACGCATCGGCGACTTCTGGAGTCCTCCCTGCCGTACCTCATGTCTGAGGCACATCCCGGAGTGACCGTAGTCACCCTGGGCAGGACGCTATCGCGCCTCTCACTGCTCTACAGAGTAAAAGGCGCAACGGCGTCCCGCCTTAGACGACACCAGATAGACAGACGGATGACACTCCGAGTGTCATCCGTCTCGGGTCGTTTACAGCGGTCACATCGCCCCAAGGTGTGGCCGCAGCGACCCTTAGGTGGCGATTGGGGAGTTAGCGACCTCTGCCGCGTCCCCTTCGCCGCTTCCTTCGAGCGGGATCGGCCCTCTACCGATCCCGCTCTGCGGCCTCCTTTTGGAGCATAACGTCCTCGCAGAAGGAGACCGCGGCTGCCCATCCCTCGCCACTCGCCAGCATTGCCGCGATTAATGCTGGCGGTGACAGGTTTCGTCCGATCTGTCCGACCAAGACTCGACGTTCGGACTCCCATGCAGGGCAGTCCTCCAGCGTGTGCTGGGCGGAGTCCCGGTCGGACCCGCAATGGTGGCATTGTGCCGTGGCCTCCCATCCAATTCGATTCAGATACTCACCGAAGCAACCGTGCCCGGTAAGCATCTGAGTCAATCGGTAGGTGACACAGTCGTTCCTCCCTACCCGCACTTCGAAGCTCGGCAGAACGGCTCCGACGGCGCGTTGGCTCTCACAGCCCTGGATTACAAGGCGTGCCTGCCACGCTCGCAGAGCCTGCAGCAACCAACGTCACATATATATACGACACGAATTAGTCGGTGTTATTGAAACCTAGAGCTATACACCTTTTTTCATTGTCGACCGAGTATCATTTGTAACACGAGCCTACACAGTAGTGATACTAAGACCGGGACGATAACCAGATGCCGGTTTTAAGTAGACATATGTAAAAAATCGGCCAAGTGCGAGTCGGACTCGCGCACGAAGGCTTCCGTACCATTATCTATGAACACGGCAAAAAAATCACGTTTGTTGTATGGGAGCCCCCTTAAATATTTGTTTTATTTAATTTAATTATTAACTTTAAAGTGAATATGTAACAAAATATTCTGTGAATGTTTCAAGCGTCTACCTGTTGCCGTTATCAATATCGAGCAAAAACGAGCAAAAAAAATCACGTTTGTTGTGTGGGAGAAATACATCATCTGTGAAAATTTCAACTGTCTAACTATCACGGTTCATGAGATACAGCCTGGTGACAGACATACAAACAGACAGACGGACGGACGGACGGACAGCGGAGTCTGAGTATTACCCTTTGGGTACGGCACCCTAAAAAGAAAAGCTAAATAGATCTCGTAAATCAGTCTTTCAAGAGTTTCGAAGAGGAATTTTAAAGTGCATATGGAGCGGTATTCAGAAATATCATATTACATTTTTTGTAATTGCCGACGCGTAACAATTTTCGATGCAACTATGCGATAGGTGTAGGGCGTAAGGAGCGGGCATGTATGGTGGTGTGCGGCGTGTTGCAGACGCGGCGTGCGCGCCGGAGCTGGTGCTGGAGGGCGTGGTGTGCGCGGGCGCGCTGAGCGGCGACGAGCGCGCGGCGGCGGCGCTGCTGCGCTCCGGAGCGGCCGACGCGCTCGTGGCGCTGCTGCGCCTGCGCCAGGCCGACGACGACCACGTGCTTCAGACCGTGTTCGCCTTTCGACAGCTGCTCTCGCACCCCCGCACCGCCGACTACCTCGTCTCGCGCACCGGTAACGGTTTCTATATCCATATATACAATAGACGATTGACTTTTTATCATTTTTATTGAGAACTATTATTACTTCAGTTTGGAAACCGATTTTCTTAATTTTATCGCTAGCAAAGTGTAAAACCTTTTTTTTTCTGTCAAACTATCACGGTTCATGAGATACAGCCTGGTGACATTTAATTTATAAGAATGTAAAAGAGCAAAATCAAATAGCAACACTAATAAAATATGAAGCTCAGAAGAAAATACACTTAGGTTACTAGAACAGGACTACGCCCAAATCGAAGCAATGCTTACCCACACAATACAAACACAACTAAGTCTACGTTTATGTTACAGACGAACCCAAACATCCACAAGTACACACGAAACACATCACGTGTGCACGTCCCACAACTTCAAACCTTACAAATATCAACATTAATATAATGTAAAAGCACCTATACCATGCCATGAAATACCATGAAAGAGCCATCAGCAGAACACTGTCTTTCAAGTTACAGGAATACCTAGTTAGGAAGACAGGGTCTATTTTGTACAACTAATACGGTTGTAAGCATTTATTGGATTGTAAAATTGTAACAAAGGAATTGAAGTTCAATAAAGTTTTATTTATTGTTACAAGTGTTGGTACAAATGTTAGAAACGTGTATTTCGTATTTTGTTTTTCCTAAACTTTACTCTTTATTAACCTAAGTGTAATTATTTTTTACTTATATTCGTTACAGAAGCTCCAGCCTATCTTATCGATTTAATGCAAGATAAGAACGCGGAGATAAGAAAAATGTGCGACACGTGCCTCGATATTATCTCACAGATGCAAAACGAGTGGGCTGTTAGGATCAAGGTTACTATTTTTAATTGCCAGTAGCGAGGGCAAATAAAATAATATTATAACATCTTAAACCTACTCAAAACTCCATATCCTTACGCAGGAAGCAAATATAATAAAGACCACGGTTTTACACAAAGCAATCGACGATTAGGTACAATTTCCTTAATCCCACTATTATTTTAGGTGGAGAGGTTCCGCTGTCACAATGGTCAATGGTTATCGGTTGTCGAGACTCTTGGAGCAGAGGGTAGTGCTGGTGATGCTAACGATGACCTGCCTCCGTACTTGTCTGCCGAGTATCTCACGACTCACCGATTGACAACCTCAGGTATTCTTCTTATGAATTAACAACTTGTTTACGATAGTTACTAAAAGAGTTCACCTAAATTAAATAATATTTTTATTATTTTTCAGATTCTCAAACATCAATAAACGATGACTCTGACAGTTTTTCGGGAGAACTTAGTATACATCGCCCTAACAGCAGGTAAAATTAATTTGTAACAGGATACGAGGTGTGTTCAAAAAGTAAGATGACCTTTGAACGCCGCGGGTTCTGTAAACTCCAATTTAAATATTTACGTTTCGACGTGTTTACAACTATATTATATTGTTACGAGCGGGATATACACTAAATAAAAGTTGTCGGTTAATTACTAAAATTGCACTTTATTTAAAAACAATCATTATAACAAACAAGAAATCACTATATAACTCGTTAGTCCCCCTGGAAATTCACTTCGATGTTAATTCGCTGTGTCATAGAATAGAATAGAAATAGAATGATCCCTAGTTTTCGATAGTCCGTTCCAGACAAATAAGAATATTCCAGTATCAGTCACGCGTTACTTGCAGCGCCATCTAGCGCTGTAAGGATCAGAACTATTAATCACAATTTCAATAGTTAGTTATACTTTACTCGAGACTAGATGGCGCTGTCCTCCACGTTCCATACAATCCTGGAATAATCGAACCATTTAATCCTATGGCGCAACGCGTTTGTGAGAGGCGAACAAGGTCAAAAGTTAAATTCGTCCGTTGCTTTTCACTGAGTGAGTTGGTCACTTTCCCTTTGATTCTGAGGGGAGGGCACTCAAAAGACGGCAACGCATATGTGGCTCTTCAGTTGCAGGCGTCCATGAGCGGTAGTCCGGTGTGCATGCTGGTGGCATCAGGTAACCCGTCTGCTCGTTTGCCCCCTTTAGCATAACAAAAAAAGAGTGTTTAGTGCGTTTGGCGATTTTCTGCTGTGGAAAAACTGGATCAAAGGATTTAGTTCGCCAAATGTGATTTTCCTTTTTTCCGAAACCGGAGAGAACCATGAGAGGATGTTGATTGGGTACAATTGAGGAGATAAAAACTGCATCGCTGGAAGAACTCAGGGATAAATTAAGAAGAAGTGCTTTGAGAATTGGAAGAAGCATTGGCATATGTGTATTATATCTGACGGACATGGTTCTTTAGACTATTAATACTGATGAATCAATTACAAGTATTTCATAAAAAAATTGTCTCTTCACTTTTTGAACACGCTTAGTATGTATAAAATTGGAATGCTTTTCGTTTATTCCTAAGAAATATTTCTATGATTTCATATTTCTATGAAATATAAACTCAAACTCAAACTCAAACTTTCTTTATTTCATAACATTTCCAAAATTGTTTGAAATCGTCTTCCATGTAGACTCTAAAGTCATAGATCAACACACACAAAAGCAACAATCTCTGTTTTGTCAATCAAAAAACTAAATTAGCTTACTATGAACCATTAAACTAAAGATTATTAGCTTTAACTGTTTATTTCAATGTTAATCGCGACAGATTTTCCTTCTAATGAAACAAATCATTCTATCTAATATGTCCAATGTTATGATGAAGTTTGCGCTTAAATGTTTGGGTCCAAAATATCGCAAACGCTGTACGCAGGCGAAATTACTTCTGCAATATCGTTGATTTTTCATTACGTTGTTGTATTGTTTCAGAAACATATTGGATAAACACACTGATGAACTGCTTAGCACAATGGACACCTCCTTGGTTAAATCTATTGAAAACGATGCTTTTGAAAAGGACATAAATATTTTTGAGTAACCTATTTAACGATACAGCCATTTGCAAAAAGATTTAATGTATTCAAGACGTATTAAACCAAGTTTAAAATGATTGTGGATTTACAAATAATTATTAGATTCACCTGTTAGCCTAGTGGGTCTAGGGTTTAAGTTAATATTTTGTGTGATATATATAAGTATATTTATTTAGAAGTATATGTGCCCACTCGTCGGAGGTTATAGTCGCCAAAGTGTAGGCGTTTAATAAGCCTCTGTCTACCCCTTTCGAGATAAAAGACGTGAATGTATAATCTAATAAATAAATAATTATAGCAGTATTCACAGTGATATTAATTTATACATATTTGAAATTATATGTTCTAATTTTTAATACTTACATTTTATTTCTTAAAATAAGACGGAACGACTTTAAGTCGATTGCTTCAATGTAAAAAGACAAGTAACTTATTGGTGGGTATCACACCCTATAGGCCTACATTATCCACAATAACAATATTTATGACAACACTTAAATACGGCACACGTCGGAAACTATTTTGAGTAGTTGTCACACTAATTAGTATGTCGAATATCCCAACGAAGAATCTGCCTCCCTTTTGTGTTGTAGTTTTCCTTCTCTTTGCAGTGCTGCTGTCCAGCGTAGTTAGCTCCCTTAGTCCCTCTTTTCTATTTATACATTTTAAATAAATTTTGTCTCGTATATAGTGTGATAATCTCAGTTAATAGTAAACGTAGGAAATACAGGTGCTCCCGCCAAATTTTGAATAATTAAAAACAACTAAAACCAATTGAATATGTTTTTATTAGTTTACAACCCTATAACGAAAATGTTCATTTATTGGCTTATTCCCAGTTGTCACTATTGGTTTCATTTGTACTGGTGACAAATGGGTAAAAAATTACGTATGTTGCCGGTATTGACAAATTGGATAAGATATTCCCAGTCATTGGCTGGCTTTGCTGCCACTCGTGACAAATAGAAAGAAAATCTCTTATGTTGCAAGTGGAAACAAATAGTACAAGAAATTGTCAGTCCTCACTATTGGCGATAAATGTTTGTGATAAATGGGAACATAAATCACAAATTATTACTAGTGTTTTTAATTGTTACTGTTGTATTTGCACTTTTATGAGGGATATTAAGATGTTTGGCTCAATAACGCACCACCACTTGCTATTGGGCTGACAGTACAATGTCGACTGACCCCCCTGCACTCTGCCTTGTAACGTATGCGTCCGAGACAAGTGTATATCTACATACACTACAGTTACCACCAACTTTTTTTCAACAAAGCCTGAAGCCCTGTAACTAAAATGTACACTTACTTTTATATATGTACTAGCTGACCCGGCGAACTCTGTTCCGCCTTAAAGGCAATAAATAAGCCGATTTTCGAATTTAGTAAGTTAATTTATTTCTTAGAAAAAAAAATGAAGTACATCAATCATTTATTATTGTTTCTGCATTTCAGTACATAGGTTGCTCTTCACTTAAGTACCTTGTGATACACGACATTTTTTGTTTTCTTATCAGGCGCAAAAACAAAGCAGATGGTCTTCCGACCCGTGAACATGCCACATATAATTGACCATGGGAAAAACATGGATGTTCTAGATTCAAACCACAAACTTTTAAGGATTGGCCTTGTGATTTGTTGATGGTCATGGAAAATGCAAGACGGATCGGAAATTGAAGTCTTTTAAATTCAAACGGCAAATCGGTTGGGATCATCGGGATCCTCGAAATGAGAACTTCCTCACCTTTGAATTTTCCTTTCAATATCGTCGCGTAAATTACATTTTTCATCAATTTTTTAACCACCAAACGCGTACCGTTGCACAGTTTTGGTTGGTTTATGTTTCGAAGCATGATTACTACGGAGCCAACCTTTAGGCGTAAATTTTGCGGTGGTAAGCCAGGCACATCCAAGGAGTTTAAAAATTCAATTGGATAGTTGGTGGCTTCATCTTCATTTGTGACGCAGTCAATAGATTTGAATGAATGCATTGTTTCAATGATCTTATTTTGAATTATATAGTTCAGGTCGTCTACATCTTTATTCTTAGCCGCTAAAATTGCTCGCTCACTCAACCATTCATTATTTTTGTAGTTAGAAATAATGTCGTTAAATACATTGTTGATAAGTTCGTCTTTTCATGAGACAAAATTACAGAAATTATTTGGAAATGATATCAATCCGCTCGATTCATCGACAGGTACTTGATCATTACCGATAGTCAGCAATTGCTCAACGAAATCTTCAGCAGATGTATCATTAAGCAATGCAACACTCATGTTTGTTGTCAGCTGCAGTTTCTTCACATAGCGCCATAGATTCGACGATTTGAGGCAAGCGTTTATTTCGTCGGCAGCCGTAGATCTTGGAATTACTGGCAGTGTTTGGCGGAAATCGCCAGACAGTAAAATCATTGCTCCTCCAAAACATCTCGAGTCATTCCGTAAATCTTTCAATGTTCGGTTAAGTGCTTCTAATGCACGTTTATGCGCCATTGTGCATTCGTCCCAGATGATGATTTTCGATGCCGATGAAACTTTGGCCATTGCTGAATTTTTTGTAATATTACACGTTGGTTCTTCAATAGTTTGAAGATTTAACGGTAATTTTAATGCTGAATGAGCCGTACGGCATCCTTCTAACAATGTGGCTGCTATTCCAGAAGAAGCAACTGCAACCGCTATGTTGGATCTCGCCCGAACAGTGGCTTAAACTACTGACATGAGGAATGTCTTACCTGTTCCACCAGAGGCATCTAGGAAATATAAACCACCATTTCCATCATCGATTGCCTTTATTAAAGTATCATAAACTTCCTTTTGTTGGGAATTCAACAGGGGTACATTCGTTTGAACTAGGTACTAAATCTAATTCCTGGTGATCATATTCACGTTCCCGTTCCAATTCTCGATTAAATGCGTCATTCATTTCACGATTGGGCGAAGGCATTCTTAACCTGATTAATAAACTACCACACATGAGGTAACACATATCTTCGATCAAGAGTAAAGCACGATTATGTATCTCCTCATTCATCTCAACATCGTGATTTCTGGAAGTGATACGAATTTGATGTAAAATATCTTCTGACATATTATCCTTATATTTGTGCCACAGGTTACATGGGTTTGATGGAAAGCATGTCCAAATTATGATAGCGAATAATGTGCGTATCTGACTTGGAGATGCAGAGATAATGGCTTCAGCGATTGTCGTATCCCAATGGGTATCGTTTTCTAATAAGTTCCGTTCTTCACATGCAGCACGATATGTTGGGAATATTACACCATTAACAGTCCGTAGTGTCTCAAATGACGTTGGCCCACGCACATTTACCAGCATCAACCGCAAATAGAAACATTCATCATTCTTTGGATGAACTGTGTACATACGACGCATGCACATCCGGATACCCAGGAACCGCATCGCCTTGCTTCCGTCTTTGAAAATTCGAAGCATTCCAAGTATAATAACGTGGCATCTCCGAGTAAAGCAAAGTTCGTAAAAAACAAAAAAAAAAAAAACAGTGTCGAACGGAATAAATAGTATCCTATGTCCGTCGCCTGGCTCTAAGCAATTTCCCCACCAATTTTCAGCCAGATCGATAAAGCCGTTCTTGAGTTATAAATAGTGTAACTAACACGACTTTCTTTTATATATATAGAAGATATATATATACAGCCTTGGCCAAAAGTATTAGGCACCCTACATTTTACTTAAAATACAGGAAAAAAAAACAAATTATACTTCTTGAATTGATTTATTACCATTAAATTACACAAAAAAGAATGAAAAAAACTTAAAATCTAGTCGGTCCACCTTTGGATTTAATTACTGCACTAATTCTAGCTGGCATGCTGCGTACAAGCTTAGTATAATCCTCCCTTGTAATGGCATGCCATTGTTGTACTAACGCATTTTTTAATGCCGTTTTCGATGTGATACAAAATGCCAAAATGCTCCAAAGATGTTCAGTTGGGTTCAAATCTGGTGACTGCGCTGGCCAATCAAACAAGTCAATGTTGTTTTCAGTAAACCAACGCATCGTAGGCGCTGACTTATGACAAGGTGCATTGTCTTGCTGGAATATAACTCCCTCTAAGTTGGTATTGCCGAAAATACTCGTTAGCGAAGGCATAAGCGCAGTTTTAAGCACTTTTATGTACTTTTCACTGTTCATACGACCTTCGCAAACAAACATTTCGCCAACCCACTAGTACATCAGTAGCCATGCAGCCCCAGATCATTATGCTGCCTCCTCCATGCTTTACTGTCGGTACGACGCAATCTGAATGGTATTCTTCGCCCACACATCGCCTCACGGAGGTCACACCTGGTGTACGCACGGCGCACTTAATGACACCACTGTCGCGTCACTGGGGTGATTCGAATAAAACCACCGTATCGCACTACTGTATATATTTACGCAAATATAGAACCAATACATGTACCTTGAAGGGTTTTATTAACAATAAATCTCTGGTCTATTTACGTCGCCATGTGAACATAACTATATCGCGATTCAGAATTAGTGTGACACGCCATCTATCGATCGATCGACAACTAAATTATTGTCACATCTAAACATGCCGCTCGCCATGGACAAATTATGAAGTTATACAATCTTAAAATGATAATTTGTCCATAATTACTGTTTAAGTATGGTTATCACACGGCAGTTAAAAACACAAAATTAAAAAACAAACAGTTCAACGGTAAATTATTTAACAATATACCAAAGCTAACCAAGCAAAAAAAAATTATACTAGCCGGTGCTTCTTACATAGCAAAAAAAAACCTTACAAAAAATTATTAACTACTTAACATATAAACATATTAATTACTGTACGGTGTTAATAGGTAATACACATAATTTTACAACGGGTCTTTTTATTACGGCGTTTTTACACCTTAGGCTCACAACGCGTGTAACTCCGTCCAAACCCGGATGTTTTTGTTCTACGATTCCAAAAAGCCATTGAGCAGGCGGCAGGCCGTCCTCCTTTACCAAGACCATGTCACCAATTGCAGGTTCTGGAACCTGATACGTCCACTTGTACCGATTTAGGAATTGTGCAAGATATTCGTGCGACCATCGTCGCCAGAAATCTTGCACCATTCGCTGAGTCAGCTGTAATCGTTTCAAGCTGGTGAGGTTGGAATGTTCATAATTTAGATCTGGTACAACGATCAGGGTCTCTCCTACTAAAAAATGTCCAGGACTCTTGATCTTGACAATTGTCACTCACACGAGACATAGGGCGAGAATTGAGGCATGCCTCGATCTGAGCCAACACAGTAGCCATCTCTTCGTAAGTTAGGGTATTGTTTCCAATAACCCGCTTGAGATGGTACTTTGTGGACTTTACACCAGCCTCCCACAGTCCTCCAAAATGAGGAGCGTGTTGAGGAATAAAGTGCCAGTTGGTCCCATTATCCGCTAACCAATCCCCTATCTCATTAGCTACGCTGGATCTTTCGATAGCTACTAACTTCTTCAATTCCTTGGCAGCTCCGACAAAATTAGTGCCATTGTCACTGTACAAGTCTGCGCAGTGACCGCGTCTGGCGACAAAACGCTTAAAAGCAGCCAAAAAACCTTTAGCGCTCAAGTCACTGACCACCTCGAGATGTATAGCTCTGGTAGCCATGCACACAAACAGGCATATATAGCCTTTGTACGCGTGATGTCCTCTACCCTTTGCAGATCTTAGGCTAATAGGGCCGGCGTAATCAACTCCACTTTGGTGGAAGGCACGACTGGGATTGACGCGTGATTTTGGCAATTGGCCCATGAGTTGGTCTCGGACCTTAGCTGCGTGACGAATGCAAGATATACACTTGCGAACAAAAAACTTCGCCTTATTCTTCACATCGAGAATCCAATATCTTGATCTCAAGAAGTTTACCATCACTTGCGGTCCTCCATGTAAGGTTCTTTTATGGGCGTCGGCTATTACGAGCTCAGTGAAGTGTGAATTTGAGGGGAGAATTATCGGATGTTTCATACCTTCTACAAGTGCAGCTCTGTCCAACCTTCCACCGACTCTAAGTATTCCATCGTGATCGATAAATGGATTCAGTGAAGTAAGTACACTTTTCCTTGCAATTACTTTTATTTTTATTAAAGTGTCAATTTCAGGGGCAAAATGTTGCTTTTGGCAATGCTTAACACACACAAGAAGTGCATCATTTAGTTCTTTAGCTGATAACCATGAATTAAATTTGTTAGAGGTTCTCTTAAATTTTAGAAACCGTCTACAGTATGCTATGACTCTAATTAATTTACTTAACGATGAAAACTTCGACCATACTGCCAGTTCTTCGTTACTCATGGTTGCAAGACTGATTACCTTAGCCTTTTGTTCTAGATCTGTTTTGTATTCCTTCCGGTTTTCGTGGCCGATTACCTTGTCCTTCAACCACAAAGGTCCTTCTTTCCACAATGTGCTTGAGATTAACTCTGTTGGATTCATTCCACGGGATGCATAATCTGCCGGGTTCTCAGCTGACTTAACGTGACCCCATTGACCTCTACCGACCACGAATAATATCTCTGAAACTCTGTTTGCTACAAATGTTTGCCAATTGCAGGGATGTTTGCTAAGCCACGCAAGAACTATTGAGGAATCTGTCCATGCATAAATGAGATGCCTTTCAATATTCAACACCTCTCCAACTTCACGTAATAATTTTACTAGTAAAACTGCAGCACACAGCTCAAGACGAGGGATTGAAATTTGCTTAATGGGTGCGACCTTTGTTTTTGCTGTTACCAAACGTGAATGGACACCACCTTGGTCATCGACGACACGGATATATATTACTGCACCGTAAGCAAGACTAGATGCATCACTGAATCCGTGCAACTCTACTGAATCACCAAGTGATGTTCGAAGCCATCTAGGTACTCGAAATGGAACTAGATTTTCAAATTCATCCCGGTAAGTATGCCATTCATTCAATAATGTGCATGGCAACTCTTCATCCCAATCTATACCTGACAACCATAATTTTTGTATTAGTATTTTCGCTTTTATGATTACAGGTGCGAGCCAGCCTAAGGGGTCAAACAACATGGAGATGTGGGAGATAATGTTTCTTTTTGTTGCAGGTATCTTCGAAGCAGGTAGTTTCACCGTGTAAGCAAATTCATCAGACTCCCGACGCCAGGTAAGTCCCAAGATTTTGATCACATTATCAATTTTTAGTTCATGGCTTTCTTCTTGTTGCTTATCAATGTTTATGTATTTCAACAATTCTTCGTTGTTGCTTCTCCATTTTTGCAACTCGAAGCCTCCCTTTGCTAATAGTTCCGTCATTTGTTTATAAATTTCCCTTCCTTCAGATACAGTTTGACAACCAGCCATCATGTCATCCATGTAAAAATTCTGCACAACAATAGATTTCGCAACTGGGTACCTATCTCCTTCATCTTCTGCAAGCTGATGCAACGTTTTGACGGCTAAGTACGGAGCTGTCGCTGTTCCAAACGTTACTCTTAGAAGACGGAAATGTTTAATTTCTTCTGAGCTGTCTGATCGCCATAATAAGCGTTGAAAATCCACGTCTTCATTAGTAACAAGTACTTGTCGGTACATTTTGACTATACCTGAAACAATGCAAATAGGGTATATACGCCATCTCAATACAGTATGTCGCAAATCCGCTTGTAGGGTTGGACCCGTCATTAGTTCACTATTCAGCGACACTCCATTTCTACCCAAACAAGAGGCGTCAAATACTACCCTAACCTTGCTGGTAGTTTTGTCTTCCCTTAAAACAGCGTGGTGAGGAAGATATACCACATCTTCTCGATTCACTTCTTCTGGCGGTATCGGTTCCATATGACCGAGTTCGAGATATTCGTTAATTACATCTGAATATTTCTTTTTGAGATCTAAGTTCTGGGCTAACCTTTTCTCTAAACTAAGAAACCTGCGTAATGCAATATCTTTTGTTCGACCATGTACGCAGTTCTTCTTAGTTGTTTTAAAAGGCAGTTTAACAATATAACGTCCAGAAGAGTCCCTAACAGTAGTCTTCCTGTAAAATGCTTCGCATTCTTCTTCTTCCTCAGTGTAGTGTTTTTTTGAGACTACAGCTTCTTCTATTTCCCAAAACCGACCTAGATAATTTTGGTCATCTTGGAGGGTTAAGTAACAATGGCTCTTGTTACCTGCTATACCTTTATTTTCTGATACTTCTCCCGACAGAATCCACCCTAAGGTTGTATCTTGTGCTATCAAAGAACCTGGAGGTCCTTTACTAAGTCCCTGTTTTATAACTTTACTATACACTGAAGAACTTAGCAACATGTCTATTCTTCCAGGTTTGTTCCAAGTAGGGTCTGCTAGGTTCTTATTTTGCACCTGTGGCCACAATGGACTCCCTATTGTTTGCATTGGCAAAACTGATGTAATTCGTTTTTGAACATGAGCTTAAACTGTTACAATTGA